GGCTCCAAGGGTTCACATTCCTGCACAGGGGATTGTGGGAGGGCCGTAGAACACATCACCAGCCCTGTACCATTGCCCAACATCTGCCACCTTATTACATAAGTGCGCATGCTTGTCCTAACGTTATGTTGTGTTTGTGTTAGTGTGTGTGTGTGTGTGTGTGTGTTTGAGAGTGTGAGTGTTTACCTGTGGAGGAGCAGGAGCGTCCCGGTAGCTCGGGAGGATTTTCAGCGTGATGCCTCCGCTGCAGTCTTTGAGCATCTCCTGCAGCTCAGTGGGGTTGTTGCCCACGTCCTTCCCGTTCACCTCCTTAATGATGTCGCCCACGTGGAGCAGGCCCTGCCGGTCGATCATGCCACCGTGCAGGATTCTGGCAATGACCAGGTCGTCTTTCTCCACACGAAACGTCACTCCCTGAGAGGAAGACGAGGTGAGGAGAGGATGGTGTTTCACCCCAGAGACATAGACACCTGTGTTTTACTCCCAGTCTCACTTATTGATTTGCTTTGTTTTTCATGTACTCAACCAATGCGCACACACACACACACACACACACACACACACACACACACACACACACACACACACAGATCATTTCAGATAGAGTGTGTCTCCACTCACCAGTGGCTCGCCGGCCTTCTTTCGGATGCCAATCATGCGCACAGCGTCGGCCTGCATCAGAGCGCTGTTCACCGCTGCGTCATTGGCCATCTCAGCCGGGGGCGGGACTTCATAGCATTTTGAGGCCACCATGTCATGTGCCTCCAAAAGAGACTGAGAGAGGGAGATGATGCTTATGTAAGTTTTGGAGAAAAAACACACACACACATACACACTTCTTACAAATAAAATGCGGAATCCTAAAGCAATAAAACACAGATGAATACACTCTTGCTCTGGTATGAGCTGTAGATTAAGGTTGCTAATGTTTTTAATCTGCAAACATACAGTTCATTTCTGTTTGGTGCCTCTTCTCCACACGTGCTACTGATACTCTACATTTCACTTTTCACTTTTATCCTGTATCTGTCTCACTTTAAATAACAAACCCATCACTTGATATTTCAGCATTAAATAAAAGCTGATGTCTGTATGAAGTACTGACAGATGGTAGAATGGTGGAGTAGCACAGTTGCTCTCGAGTCGAGGGCAGACAGCTGAGCTGAAGCTTTTGTATTATTGTTAATTAGTTATTTACAATGCTGCCGCATCTGTGACAGTTTTCTTCTAATTTGTATTCTGGGTTTAATTCTAAAATGAAGAAATAAATAAAAATGTGAGCACAAAGCTGTTTAAACAATCAACTTCCCACATGCACCTTCTCAACAACAAATTAATATTTTAAAAAAAGACTAATCATCTTGTCTCAAATCCCAAATATGGATTAAAACCAAAATACACTCAATTATTTCTCACTTCGCTGAGTCTCCCAGTAATGTCTTTAATCCAAAATCATTTCTTAATATGTATCAGGACTATTTTTTTTACTGACCATCAGACAAGTGACATAAAATAAACAAGTCTGTAAAGTCACACACTCACTATGTGATGTAATTTCTGTTTCCCTCCTTCCCTTTCTCCCCCAGCCTGCCTTTCCCCCCCTTCCTCTCTGGCCCTCAGTAGGTCAACAGGGTCTTATCCTCCAGCTTACAGCACAAAGGGCTCTGATTGGTGCACAGGCCTCAGCGGGCTCAGAAGTGCCACTCCTATTGGTGGAGCCTGTTAAAAGCCTCTGGCAGGTCCGGGGATAGAGGCTATAGTGTCCCGACTGATGCACGAGGACGGGATCCAAACTATCATCTCTGTGCTACTGTATCTACAGTCAAAACATTACACGACTGTTTAACATTTACTACGACACGAAACAGTGAAAGACAAACATCCCAACTAGTTGCTTGTTCACTCATTTTACTACAACATACAGGATTTAAACTGGCAACAAGTTGAGCTACAGAAACAGAGAACTGCAAAATTAACTTTAGTTTAAATGATGATCAATACTTTATTGATGGAAATATAGTTGCAATAATATGTGATAGAAATGTGTCAAACAACTGAATTAAGTAGATATTTAAGGTAACTTTTCTGATTACTTTTCACTTTTACTCCCTACATACTAACACATATATCTGTAACTTTACTTTCATTTTAATGCATTTGAGGAGGGACTTCAATTTTTCTCTTTTACATCAGCGAGTGACACATCACAAACCTCACAACCGATTTCAGACCTAAACCCTGGATGTGAAAATAACACAGAAAATTCGATCCCAGCGTAAAAGAGGTGTCGTTTCAGAAAAGACGAGAGAGAGACTTAACCCCAGAGAAGAGGTGTATATGACATGGAGAAACATGGAGGAAAGGAAGTGTGTGTGTGNTGTGTGTGTGTGTGTGTGTGTGTGTGTGTGTGTGTGTGTACCTGGAAGTGTGGCTCCTTCAGGATCTTGGACAGTTCGGCCGCGCTGTCATCTTTAACCTTGAGGTTGTTGATGTCTCCGATGATGTCCGTCACCAGCTCCACATTGTTGTCCTGCACCGCCTCCAGCTTCACTTCCTCCAGCTGCTCGTGAGCCTAAGGGTTGGGCGGGGGGGACAGACAGAGAAGCTCAGGGAGTGTAGGTTTCTTACCGATGAGACAAACAGCTTTTAGTTTTGTGTAGTTCTGATTGCCACCATCACATTGGATTCTTCATGTATGTACGTTATGGAGGATTTGGAAATGTGGAATACATTTTGCTGACTGTGTGAGCCAGCCACTTTCTGCCATATGTTTCACTGTTACAAGTCAAAAGGAGTATTTGTTTTTGATTATTCATCTGTCATGCATACGAGATCCATCCCTGCGGGGAGGAACTGAATGATGGGAAATGACGACAGCCTGTTGAACAGGAACTCTGACTGTCCCCGGACTGACCTCAGAGCTGCAGACTTAAAATAGCACTGAAGATGTGTAATATGCACTGCCAGTTAAGAAAACAGACACAAGAGTGTAGCGCTACCTCATTTTGTTACTGACAGTATGAATGCACTGTGTTAGTCCAAGCCCGACTGTACATCAGCACCTCGGTCACAGCGAGCAAAGCACTGCTGGGTGCAGGTGTAGGCGGAGGGTCTTGGACCCGGCATGTTAGCTTGCCTCACCTCGATCTATGTGTGTATGCTACATTGGCGAGGGAACGTACAATAGGACTTTCCATGATGCCTCGCAGGAAGAGCAGGTCGATGTCCTTGGCACCCGCGGAGGTGGGCAGCTCACCCACGTTATCCAACACCTGCTGCATGGCTGGATGGACGGGCCCGAGAGGTACAGACACAGACGGAAAATGAGACAGAGAGATAAGGAGGCGTTAGCTCAGGTGTGAAAGTCATAAACACACAAGACACTGCAGCAGATAGAGAGATAGAGAAGAAGTCACTGACTCAGCACCAAAATGAGTGTTTGGCCACTTTCTCAGAGTCTTGCAGCAAAGAGATCAAACAGATATCCAGATGCTTATGGCAACGGAAAAAAAACACTAAATCAAATATAACACTTTTCATAGAAATCTAGTGGCAGGGGACTACACTGCAGGACGGATGAGATTGAAAGTGCAATGACAGGAGGGGAATGGATGGTAGCGAGGGCAGAAGATACTGACTTAAACAATAAGATGCTAGTCCTTAGAATAATATATAATTGAAAACCTGGCAGGACATTGTAAAATGTGTGGAATAGGTGATTCATTCATAGGAATTTATTCCAAATAGATCAAATGATAGATTTCTGAAGGATGTCATATTTAACCAGAACTTGGGTGAAGCTTTAGAAAGAAAGGTGATCAAAATCATGAAAATATTATCATCGGCCAAATTAATAACATATGACAGTAATGTATAATGGTATTCTCCATTCCAAGCCTGAAAATACACTGTGTATAAAAGAGAAGAGGGAGATGGAGTGATATTTTAATATTTCAGAGGAGGGCTGCAGAAGAATGTGTCAAACACAGCTGAATTCCACTGGCTTAACTACAGGGTGAGAATGAACTATTGTAAGGTTTTTATCTTATTAAATTTTTTGCAAAAACAACATCAGGCAAGTGCTGGTAGATGTTGGAGACTACATTTTCTGCTTATTCCTTATTGTGAGGATATTTATAAACAAATGAATAATACGTTTGGATTTGACATCCGATTTTAAGATGTGAATATCAATAATCAAATTATTATACAATCAGCATTAACAAATGGATGAAAATAGTATATTAAATACTGTGTACAATATGAGAAGGTTGACAGTTTCCCCCAAAAATCTGAGAACATTAAACCTATGAGGTCAGACTTCAGCTGACTGGATAGAATCAAATGAGTGGCAATGGCAATTTCATAATGTGACCTTGATCTCGACTGCAGCCAATTCACTCTCTTCATGCACGGCTACAAACAGGAGATCAAATTAAAGCTCCCTCTGGAGGTGCAGTAACTCAGGTCTGTTTTAAGACATCTTATGAATAATTTGGGGAAAAGTGCAGAACAGTAGCATAGGCTCTACTTTCAAGTCCAATGATATATTTCCTATCTATCTAGAAACTCCAGGTTTTCAAGATTGAAGTTGTCAGAATGATTCCTGACACGCAAACTGTGATAGAGTCCAGTTCACAGAGAGCGAAACAGAGAGAGAGAGAGAGGGAGAGGTGAGAACTGCAGGTATGAGCTAGTTAACGCCTTAATGCCAGGGTCTCAAATCTAATGCCCATGTAAGCCCATTTAAGACACTTAAAGCCTTGGGAATGTGTGTGTGTGTGATCATTATACACTTATGTGGGTAGTACATTTATGTCCAATCAGCACTTGTATTCAGTTGCTTCACTTTATGCACGTATTTTGTTCCCCTATCCCATTATTACTGTGTCACCCTGACTCATGTTCTCTGTCATTAGGTCAAGTCATACTTCACTCACTAAAATAGCAGCCTCGGAAATACAAATGCTTGATGTGTGGTGAAATCTCAATCAACTTGCCGTCACAGAAGAAAATCATATCAAACATCAGTTCATACGTCATCAGCTAAATGAAATGTAAAAACGCAGTCTCAGTTATTTTACATGGGACAGTGTTTCACATATAAATTCTACATATCAGTATGCATACTACTTTTCTTCTCACGTGTAAAATGTCACATTTGTCTCTTTTGTGAGGGTTCAGCACGCCCTTTTATCCATAATTAATCTTTTAATGTATCTCAGATATAATCTCTTTTTAAATTCCACTTTTTTCTGGTCTGCAGCACAAAAACCACCACATCAGTTAGTCATTCTTTTTAATCACTTATCATTCACTCTGTCCTTCATGCAGGGGCCATGGGGCTGTATGATTAAAGAGGAAGAGACTGTAAAAATACAATTGATCTTACACTGCGGTTTGATCACCACAGAGAACAGACAGACTCCATAAACAGCAGGCTCCATGCAAAAACAAACCTTAAATATTTATGATGCTCTTAAAGAAGAACAAATAGGGGAGGGTGGGTTAAAAAGCAGCACTGCAGATGATCGGACCTGTATATCCACGCAGCTATATTCACCTCTTGATGTATATATAAACCTTCACAGAATATGCAGGATATTTGGTTTCTGTATCAGGACCACACACAATCTTTCAGAGCTGTAATTGTAAAGGCCTCCACACAACCATAAACAAGCATTAAAACACCAGCTTGGCTGCAGTGCTCTCACTCACTCACTCTCTTTCTCAATCGCCTACACTTCAAATTCATGCATCAAAAAATGGAATAACTTGTAGGAGTCTGAGTAAATCTACAATGTGCAAAGCTGGGAGAAAGACATCCAACACTGAAACTGGCCTCACTAACATACTTGAACATGATCCCGTAAACACGCCGACGTATCCGAGTTTATTCCAAGTTTTTGTTCTCTCTCCCTCTCTCATGCTGACAAACTTTGGTCAGCTCATTGTGTCATCAAGCCCTCGACCACAGGAATGATGCTCATCCCAGACTGTCCGCCGCCCCCCGTCTGCCACGTGTACTAGTGTGTACATTACTCATCCCCACGAGCCTCCTACCTAAAGTCTCTACAATCCTACAAAGTATGGCAGGGTGATAAAACCACCTACCGGCCTCCTGCTCAGCCTCGCCATGAAGAAGTTGGAAAAGCTCAGAGAGCAGCGTAGTGTTTTCATTTTCTAAACGCTAGTTCGTTCATCTACATAATGAATCATCCTGCATACCTGCTCTTTAATTTCTCTCTGCAGCTCTCTGGCATGTCTCCAGTCTCCCTCACCATTAAACCACCGGCCCTGTGCACACCTACCAGCACTCCGTGGTTTGAATTCCAATGCAGAGACTCCTTACTTAAGAATTCCTACTTCTTGTTTTTCAAGGAACTCGAGGCAAATCCCACAGGAAAAGACCCAGCAACCTGTATTATTATTATTTTTTCAGCTCGTAGGAGCAATCACAGGAGCACCTTCACCGAAACAAAAGTAACATCAATCATAACAAATACACTATATATATTTTAGTGTATTTTCTTTCAGTTCTGCAAGTTAACAACCAAACCTCCTTCTGGCAACTCACAGCAAAGGCTTCTCTAAAGCCTCAGATTCCTTCTGCAGCTGCCTGGTGGTACCGACAAAGACTGTAGAGAAGCTAACCTCAGTCGAAAAGAATATGTGTTTACATTTTGATTTTAAAAAATCGACATAATGAGTAAGCTGTAAAACCTGAATGCTATATGTATTGCTATAGAGAATGTGTGAAAACAGGATAAGAAGCCTGATCAGAGAGCTAAAAGTAATGAATTAACAGCTCATATCGTTAGCTAAAAGTAACGGATAAACACTTCAAATAGTTAAATAAATAGTCAATAAATATTTCAACTAAAAGTAATGAATAAATAGTTCAAACAGTTAGATTATAGCCAATAACTTTTTAAAAAACTGACTTTTAATTTTATAGATAAACAATTGGACATAACAATTAACTAAAAGTAAAGAATAAACAATTAAAATAGCTAAAATTACTTTATGGATAAACAATTAAACTAGTAAGCTAAAGGTGATAAAAAGAACTTAAAATAGCAAAAAGTAATAAATTGTAAATGTTTAAAGTTGATATTATAATCAATACATAATTAGTTAAAATAGTTAGCTACATGGCTAAATGTATCAGTTGAAATATAAACTAAAAGTCATAATTACTGGAAAGCTTGTGCCACAGTGGTAGTATTTTAAATGCAAACATGACTAAATCAGTGAAAATACTGAAAGTTCAAATAGTCTTGAATGTTAAATAACATTAAGTACAACATGAATTTGGTTGAACACGTTTGGTACATGACGGGGGGTGACAAGTTCATCTGACATAAGTGCAGGGACACTTCAGACAACACGGATGTAGAACCACCCCTTCAAAGGATTGTGGGATCATCTATTTATATATAAAGATAAATGAACGGTCTGGCAGTCCCATCACTCCACCTGCTTTCTGGTTATAAATATTTCATTATAACACATTCATCAACCCCTACTTCTCCAATTTCAGAACAAAACGACCACAGTATGGCTCAAAGTCTGAATAAGTAACACAGCGCCTCCTCCTTTCCTCACCTCCAGACGTTTCTGCTGCCTGGGTGGACCGCTCGGCCGGGGGCACTTCCACGCCAGGATGTCTCAGGGCCGTCACCTCCTCCTCCTTCTCCTCCCGCACCCCATTGGGACAGGCATCCTCCATAGCCGTGACCATCGCCAAGCCCTCCTTCTCGCTGCCTACTGCCACAAGTACGCTAAGGCTATAACCACTAGACAACCACCAGCAGTTCTGCAACTATGTCGTCTGTCCTCCAATCCTCTTGTCTGGCACGGCTGTCTCTCTAAACTCCCAAAAAAATTTTAAAAAACAGAGAGGAAGAGAGAGATAGAGAGAGAGAGAGAGAGGGTTTGAGGTTAGAGAATGATAGAGAAACAAAGAGAACGACAAAAGAGTGGGATTAAGATCAGGGGATATTAAGAGACGAGGAGGGGAAACATGAGCACAGAGGAGGAGGAGAGATGATGGAAGAAGGGAAGAAGGTCTGACGTGAAGATGGGTTCAGAGAGAGAGAAACAGAGAGAGGTAGAGAGCTGGTTTACACACACACACAGATGTGGACATGTGTTCAATGCTTGGCAGTCCCCACCCTCCACTCCGCCTTTAATACCTTCCCTTCACAACCCTGCCGCCCCCCCCCCCCATTGATAACGCACACACATAATCCCACAATCCTCTCCTGCTGTTGCTCCAGTACCCCTCCTTATGCACCCCCCCCACCCCCCCCCCACTTGACCCCACCCAAAGTTGAGTCGGCCCCCTCTTGCAACAAGTCACTCACACGCACATACACACCAGTTGAATGTGCCATTATGTAAGTAATCTTATGTAAGTATTACTGAAGGGGGGGGGTGGGGGGGCTGACCCTACGTTCCCATTGTTTTCCCTGCTTCTTTCTCTCATTCACACTGCTCAGGGTTCGGACACCCGCCGATACAGTGACGTGCAGGAACTCAGTGTGTGCGGATTGTGCTCAGACGTGCTCCCTCACCTCCTTAAAGCAGCGTGTGTCTGTCTAATGGGACCTTTTTTTTTTTCTTTCATCTCATGTCCCTGCTGAAATTAATGTGCCCTCATCACCTTACTTCAGGCTTAGTCACTGTAATTAAGGTGCTGACGGGATTACGAAATACATTTGGGCAAAATACTGGGCGCAGTACTGACTTTTTAATAAATTCTTTCCAGTGCCTCATTTATATGGAGACGATAGATAGGAATAGAAAAGCACGCAACATTTTACATGAGGGCAGTCTAATACCTCTTTGCATTACCACCAAGCTGCTGGGGATTTAAATTAGCTTTTGGAGAATTAATCAAACCAAAATATATTATTGGAGAAATTGAAGACATTTTTCCACTGGTCCTGCAATGTGATTCAATCAGGATTCACTACCGGGTCCAAACGTGGCACCCATGTAACTGTGCTCAAACAGCAGAGAGGGAGGAGAGAGATCGCCTCAGTTGTCCGTGTGTTTGTGATGTTGAACGGAGTCATTGCCACTTTTAGTTATAACATTGCTATCGTATTGGTGGTGCTACAGGTTTTGAGGATTAATTGTTACAGCGGGGAACTCTGGATTTTGAGATATTTCACTTGTAAATGCGAAATTTTGACCTGCTGGTAAAAGTAGATGAGTCTTTACGATTCATCCTCTGGAGAAAAAAATGAATGGCTGTAAAATGGCAGTCTCATCTGTTGAGATATTTCAGTCTCAACTCTCAGGACAAAAGTGATGCACAAACTCACTGAGGCACCATAATTACCGTCATTAAAATACCTAGCAGCAGGTGAACCCAACCCATTTGCAAAAGCTCCGCAGAAATATTTCTGGTTGTCCTTGTAATATCAGAAATGTCATGAACAGAGGACGAGCAAAAGAGACGTCCTGTTGTTGATGAAAATAAACAAAGGCTCCTCCCCTCCACCATCCATCAAGCCCCTCCTACAACACCACAGCTGTGCATGGAGCAGATCTGTAGGTTTTAATCCACCACGCATGCCAAACCCCCACCCCCCCGCGTACGCTCCATCCCTGGCACGACCATGCATGCAACCCCTCCCCCAATTTGGGACGTGGGGTTTTAATCTGGCCACGAAAGCACGGGATTATAGAATCTCTCTGTCCCTCGCTCATCGTATCTGGCACTCAAACATCTCTAAAAAGGCGAACAGAGCCAGCGTGGCGATGGTTGAAATGGCCTTAAGCTACCGCTGCCTCTGACCTAAGATATTTTCCCTTCTGGGTGTCAATGCAACATTACAATACTATTCCCACACAGAACACAATGGAAGTTCACAGTTTGTTATCTTCACTCCAAAGTGTCAGACTAATTATTCCTCTTCAGAAAGTAAAAAGACGCAGTTTGACTGTGGAGGAGCAGCAGTGTGCAAAGGAAAGAACAAGCACTTAGGCCATAACAAAGCATCGTGGGATGTCAACACGGATTTCATGAAAACACAGAGCTCCAAGTCTATAATGAGTAAAACTAAATCGTGGTTCAATTAGAATAATTGGTTTATTATTCAGCAACAAGCTAATTTCAGTATGTAAATCGCACTGAGTCAGACACGAGAGAAAGCAGCATGTGTAAGAACTCTTTATACTGTGATCAGACTGAAAATAATGTATCATCGTGTAAAACAAAGTATCTGACAAATATTTTACAGCAGACTTTACCTGCACTGGCAGAAAAATACTGGTCAAGCAAGGACAGATAGGATTTCTGGGCAGTTGATGGATATATGCAGATTTTTCTCATAAAAAAACCTCAGAACTTCAATTTCACTGGTTTAGATTAATACGAGCATGGCCCTCCGAGTACATAAAATGCTTTTTAATAACCTTGTAATTTACACGAACAGTTTGAAAACCAGCTGCTTCCTTTGCGCTCTTAAAAAAAAAAGTCAGCAATCAGCACATCATTTCAGAACCTGGCAAGTCTCCCCCTGAGCTGTAACGATTATTTCAGCAAGCAGAAAACATGATGCCTACAGAGGAGGAAGTACAAAGGAAGAGGCGGGGAGGATATTTGTGTTTACCTGTGTCAGTCGGTGTCGCCCAACCCAAGTCCTATTGGCTATTCATCAGTCAACTGTGAAGACCTGCAGAGAGGAGGAGAGAGGGGGAGAGAGATGTGTGAATGATTTCATCATTCCTCACACACTAGTTTTTTCCCTCTGTGGATTATCTGTTACATCCATCAACGCCATCTCCACGTCTTCGCAAGACGGGAGCCCCGCTCAAGGACGGAGGCCGTTTTTCTATCGCAGTGATGAACACAGTCATCCAGGGTCATTCATTGTACTCATTCAAGGATGCATCATCAGCTGGCACAGCGCCATCCACGTAGTAAATGTCCAAGTAATGAAAAAGCACATTCATTCCCAGAGACCTCTCACTTACACTCACACTTTACGCCATTTATCGTGTACGTTTTATTGGATAATATTTGTCAAATTAAGGATTTACTTGTGCAGTTATGGATGTTGCCTCATATACAGATGCAGCAGTTATTAGATAAATCAGAGCTTAAGGCAATATAGAAACTGTCATTTCTGTATTGTTTGTACAGATGTCATGTTGCAGCTGAACACCCCTCACCTCACCCTCCCCTTCCAAACATGAAAGAGAACCTGTGGCAGCTTCAGCTCAAAAGGTTTAGTTTGTCCAGTCTGGGCTACTGTAAAAAACATGGCGGCCTGTGTAGAGAGGACTCGCTCCTGATGTAAATATAAAGTATTTCAATATAAAGGGCCAATTCTAGGGTAAAGAAAACAACTATTTGTACAATTTAGATGAAACACACTAGAGAAAACCTCAACATCAACCTCAATTTCCTTTCATCTGTTTTCTTTTCTTAACTGACTCTAAATCTGTACAGAACGCCCCCCCCCCCCAACATCCCGAAGAAACCGGCGTGCAACTTTTACAACATCATCTGTCTAATGTAGAGCTGCAAAGTCTGGCAGCGATAAAACCTGTTTGTGCTGCTCTGAATAGCCATTGTAAAATGGACCGATAGTAAATGCAAGCCAGCAAAACAATGAAATGGTGTAATTACAAATAACTGATGCCTGCACTTGCCCACAGGACAATACATTATCACTCTTACACACCTCATTTAGTTCAGCCTCTTTCACTTTCCCTCTATTTCTCTATTGGCCCAGAGCGAGGGAAGGCAAGTGAAGCAAGAGTTTGGAAAGATTATCCAATGAAAACCAAAAGTTTACAGACCGACAGATAAACTCTGGATAGTGTCCAAATGAGCTCTTGTGAGAAAAATGCAGGAGATCGTCTGGGGGAGCAAGTGGCGCATTGATGACGTTTCTAATGAACGAAAACTGTCGACGCCGGTGTTGATGCGCTGCAAACAAATACATGTTATCTCCGTAAAGGAATTAACACGTCACCTTCTTTTTCATATGAAGGCAACCTCTAGAGAAAGTCCAGATATATTCAAAAGGACATCACACTGTCCACTTAACCTTTGACCTTAAGCTCTTCTCTTGTCTGGGTCGTACCAACAGTTTCCGAGCGTTAGAACACTTCCAAAAGATCACATCACACTGGTTTGCTATTATCCCTTATGCTGCACTGAGGACTTTTCACCCATCAAGTCAGAGCTAATTGGTCCGTCGTTGTCTGAGACGAAGAGAGCGAGAGAAAGAGAAGTGAGGAGTCAATTCATTACGCAACGCAGATTACAATCAGGCTCGGCACGCTCATTGGAAGTGAAGGATATCCCTTGGAAGAATGTTAATGGAGGCAAAGTCACCAGGGCAATTCCTCACCAAGTCATCCGCACCACAGAGCAGAGCAAGAGCTAAAAGAGGGAGGGAGGAGCGTGTAGCGATCAGATGAAGATGGGAATGGTCTGTTGTTAAAGGGATGTGTGAAATGGACAGAGCAGAATGAGAGGAAGAATTTCAGGGGAAGAGATTCAGAGCCAGAGAATAGGGAATAGATTACGGGTCATGGAGAAGAAGAGGAAGAGATTAGACTGTGGGAGCTGAGGGAAAGAAGTCCAAAGCCTTGGGATGAAAGAGGGAGAGGGAACAGACGAGAAAGTCTTGAGAGAGGTGTGAGAGGACGCCTGATGACCAATACTGACTATCTATCTTTTCCAGGAGATCCTCTGGTGATAGCTAATCTGAATGTGTATGATTGCTTCCTGAGAATAATTTGCTTGACTTAGAATAGAGGAGCTTGTACTTGCATTTACTTGAATGCAAAAGCTAGGTCACAAAGTTTCACTAGCCTGGTAAATCTGTCTCATGCACTAAATTCAGGATCCCCCCCTGATTTTCTGTTACGTACAACACTGTCTGCTCCCATTTCCTCCTACTGCGTGAGAGAGAAAAATCCCAGGAAGTTGTCATACTCAATCCTAGCTGCCATTGGCCGATCTGACCGAACGGACGAGCCAACAAAAAGTGCCCCGTGGTTGCCAAGTACAAAGATGATGGACAGCTCATGGAAAGGAGGATTACGGGGGAATCAGAGGTTTTGTTTTTGTACAAAACATCATTGCCGTCTCACTCACACATACACACACCAGTGTGTGTGTGTGTGAGTGTGTGTGTGTGTGGATGCACACGACTCAACGCACAGACAAACACCAGCAGGCTGTGTGGTTTTAATTTACCCAGTTCTTGTCCAACTACAGCAGGAAATCTCACTCTTCCTCCGAAGCGGCGCCTCATTGAGCACACTTTGTGAGTTTACAGTCTCAGATGGAGTAGAATACATCCCTCAGGGTCATGAAACACAAATACACACACAGGCAAGCCAATAAGGCACTCATCTTGGAGGAACCATTCAAATCACGTCTATAGGTCCCCTCCTCGTCTATTGAAACAAACGTTCTCTCTTTGCCCTCTGAGAGCAGCCGTCACTCTGTGTTCCTCTCACTGACTTGAGAATCACAAAGCAAGCTGGTGAGCCTTCTGTCCCGCCGGCAGGTCCACATGTCACGTCCTTGGTCGACTCCAGGGGTAGTAAGGAGCAATTAGTAAACTTCCCTGAGCTTGGAGGCTGTGGCGTCCCCTCTGTATGACACACCAGTGTGGTAGTGGACACTGCAGGGAAGGAGTTATTCACGGAAGCAGAGTGTAGCCAACATACATGTGGACGTGCATGTATGTGTAATGACAGCCCGGTCATACAACCCCCCCATTAACCAACTCCATCCTCTCGTGCCTCGCCTCCAGGCAAACCTTATGTAGGTCACTCCATGTGTTACAGCACTCAATAAGAGGATTACACTGCGACCCCCAAGATGGCCACGTTAGCAGATCAATATATGTTTAATAGTCGTCATAACTGGATTCTTTTAAGCAGAAACTGCTCTCTTACTATTCCGGTTACAAATGCCAGCATGTTGATGAAATCGGCTCAGTTTCTACAAACAGTGAGGATGCAGCTTTTCCAGCTTTCTGCTGATTCATGCCTATACCCCTACTCATCACCTGGAATCTAAATAACCACTATTTAGCACAGACACCATTTGTTGCATCACTGCACTTTCCCCACATCGCCAGAAATGACCATTAACCCCTCCTCCGTGATGTTTTGCCTCCCAGCTTGGGATGATACAATTACAGAGCTGTTCGCATGCAGCTTGTCAGAACCCTTTCGGCACTGTACATGCAGCAGACTTAATAATGAGCACCTTTTGACATAATCTAAGCCGCCACATGGCTGCGCCTGCTCCTTCTCAGTCTCTAGCTCTTCTCAATCATGCAGCCTCCTGCTCCTGATCATTAGTATCGAGGGAAAGAGGAGGAGAGGGGATGAGGGGGATGGAGTAGGTGATGCAACAGCACTTAACAAGACTGCAAAGTTAGAGAAATGATGTAAAAGAAATGCGATGGACGTGGGAAAGATATAAGGAAAAAGAAATGAGGCTCGCTGAGAGGCGTTTGACTCTCTCAATTTATCCTGTCATATTTTGGAATATTGGAGGAGAATTACAAACGTATGTATCTCCTTTGATAGAAGCATCCGCTGTCTCGTGTTGGCTGGAGCAGAGACTTTGATCTGGTTACATCATGACCTCATATGATCTTAATGCTCATGCGTTCTCAGCATTAAATATGCTGTTTATCTCACGTATTTATGATTATCATCACTTGGATTTTGTGAGGAGTTGAATGAGAGTCGAGCAACACAGATTTATTTTTTTCGATAATAGAGACAAAAGGAAGAATTTTCCACACAAAAATCCACTGTCTTATGCCATCTAGATGATTTTATTGTTTATCTGCAGTGGAGTACCCCTTTAAGGCCTTTGTGATGGATGAAATCTGGTGAATCAGCACTATAGGCTGCAGCAAAAAAAAAGAAAAAAAAGATGTTTGTTTGCCTGGTAGCAATTCTGACACACATAAAAAAGTAATGTTCCTCTCTGTAATTTAGTTGTGTATTTTCTTGGCAGGGATGTAATTAGCTTGTGATCACTGTTTTGGGGCCAGTTAGTCTGTGAGTTAACAGCAGGGAGGTGCAGTCTGCTGTTGGGCTGGGAGGGTTGATTGTAGGTATGCAGATGATGTGTTGTTCTTATGGAAGGTTTGAGTCATTGTGCGTGTGTGTGTCTTTTCTCTCTTGCTCCACTCACTACTCCTTCCCTCTCTGAACTGTCTTTCCCATAGCTGTGTATTAATAATGGAAAAGTAGAAGCTTCTGAGTGTTGGATCTGGTCTCTGAGTGACTCACTGACATCTCTTATGTGCTCCAACATCAAGAGCGTGTGTTTTGAAAGTAGTGTTTTCCTCTGCCCCGCAGACAGGAAGGGATGTGCATGCATATGAGGGGCTGAAAAGTCTCAAACTTTGTGCCTGCCTTGTCGCAGAACAATAAAGGTCATCCTGGATCTCTGTCTCAAACATCTTTGTCTGTACATCCCTGCCCTGGATGTGCACTTAACTGTCTCTGTCTCCTTCCTTTCCTCCTTTTGTTGCTCTTATTCGATTTAATAATCAGATTAGGGCTTGTAATAGAGGAAGAGAGGAAGACCCATAAACTCAACATGCAACAAGACCCACTCTTAGTCGCCCCTCCAGGAAAGATCCCCAAGGATATTGCCTATACATGCATGGGCTTCCCCCAACACGTGCAGGAGGCCTAAACAGCTTATAACCCTGTGCCAAGTGAAGTGACCCTGATGTGCTCCTCTGAGTCTGATACTTTGTTATGACAGGCTGTGTAGATGGTTTTGAGTTTCCACTAAGTGCTCTGCATAACGTGGTACTGACATTTTGTGAGTGCATTATTATTATTAAATGGTGCACAGAGGAATCACGGTGGAGGACGAAAAATGTAAAATCAATAGGAGCGTCTGGCTGCGCCTCCGGTCTGTGCCATGCCACCGCTTTGCATCCAGACACTGCTTTGCTGATATTTGCTCTGAAAGTTTTTCCACATAACAGAATAAGAGAACGTGTTGTGTGTGTTGCAGGTACTACAGTATGGGACTTTTTTCTTTATATTTAAAACGCTCTCCCTGCGTCTTATCTAGAGCCCTCCAGGCTTTGCTGGTGGATGTTGCAGTCTATCATTCCGGAACGGTGGCTCCCTCCTGCCTCCAACAACCCGCAGCCCGTTAGTCTCATATCCTCCCCCAGGCAAGTATCCACATCCGTGCGCTCGAACCGTGCGCCAAATCCGTGCCAGAACGCCTGAGCCACCACACGACAGCAGACTAAATTCACACCGATTTCTCCACACGTGCGGCCATTTTTTTTGTTACCCATCCGATCCATTGTGGCGTGCGCGCACTTATAACGACTCCAACCTACCCACCGGATCCTTCCCTGTGATTTGCAGGAAAGAAAGCGAGGAAATAAAGAGAGCGCGTCCGGATACACAATGGTCGCAAAGTGATCAGAGCCCGGATAAAGCCTCAGCTCTCAGAGGGGAGAGGGCTCCACAGGGGGGCAAACCTCCCCCTGCCGCCACCTCCTTCTGTCAAACTCCGCTGCACCTCCAACACGACAAAGTGTCTTTGTCTCTGTTCAATACCAGCGACTGGATGAGTCTGATAAACCACCACATTACGCATTTGACCACGAGCCGTCACTTACCTGTGAATCGGTTCGCACCACTCCACACGCACGCACACCGTCCCGGTTGGACATTCAGACCCCCCTCAGCTGTCTGTCCTGGTCCCGCAGCAGACTACCAGAGAACACCGTGCCAATCAAACCCACACGCCCCGCCTCCTCCCCCTGACGCCACGGAGTTCAGACCAATGGCAGCAGAGGTCCCACCCTCCCCGAGTGAATAGGCTGCGTGTTGTATTGTGCATATAGTATTTCTTATCACACACTCGACCATTCATAGAAAGAGGAAACTACTAAACAAACATTTATATGCACCGTGTAGACGGTGCGTAGCGTAAAGTACCATCAATATAATCTTAACCATTTCTTACCCATCATATCATAAAACTATAAACCTTTTGGTGTAATTTAATTATGTGTTCTAGTATCAACCAACATTTACAACTTACACAGGCTCACATTAAGGCTAGAGACTGTAATTTACCAGGAGACAGCTTTGGGATTAAGATTAACGTTCTGAGCAGCTTTACTTATATTTAGCAAATTAATTTTTCATAAATCCGAGAGTCAAGGATTTCAACTGAGAGAAGGAACTCTTTATCCTAAAGCTCGGCCCTGGTAAATAAAAGCCTTTTAGTCTTCACCTTCATCATATCATGAAATCATACACCTATTAGTGAAAAGTTTTTTTTCTAATTGGACAACAAGGTCACATTATGACTAAAGGCTTTTGATTTAATTGAGTATATTCTAATTATATAACTGAACAGCTAAATACATCAAATCAAACTAATTTATATGAGTACATTCGATTAAATACAATTAACGTAATGTAACGTAGTGTAAAGTCAAATAAATTAATTAACAAAGATCAAGGTGTTGTCGATGAGTGTTTTCTGCACTTGGAACCTTCTGACGAAAGAACCCGTCCTCTTCTTGTCTCTGGTTGGATCTCATCTCCAGCTCAGCCTGTGTTTCTGCAGTGTCTCTAACCTGCTTGATTTGTGCTGTGTGTGGTTCCATGTCAGGTTGCGGTGGACTAACCATCTGTGTAATTGCAATGATGCTCCTGAAAAATTTCCATTTCTCCCCCTCCTTTAGTGCCCGAGTCAGTATGGCCACAAGAGAGCGCCATCAGCCTCCCAATTGGCAGCTTGAACCTGATTTATGTTTTCTGGTCATCAGGGACCATTCATGCCTGTCAGGCCCAGTTAAAATGTACTTGCAAACCAAAAACAACACTTGCCCACATATGCGGCCTCACAGAGCCACATATTTCGTTTGAGAGGCCGGGTGTGGCACAGCAAGTCCAAACTCGACCTCATGAAAGGATGCACACAGTGTTCGAGATGTGTCGTGTGGCATTCAGGACCAGTGGCCTCATCCTAACTCTTCATGATTAATATATAATTCTGCTACATTCAGCCCGTCACACAGACGCCAGGAAAAAGATTCCTTCAAACGATGATTCTTTAATTGCACATTTAAACAATACAAACAACATGGCCCTCCCCCACACCAGCTTTATGTATCACAGATGATAACTGAGTAAACTATTTACAATTTTATAGCACATACTACAAGCAGTTTTGACCGTGTCCAATGGTTAAGGAAGAGGGGTTGATTACGCGTAGTGGCTCGTAGATGTAAGACGGGCGGTCTCCTGGCATGCAGGAGGAAAATGACGTGACAGAGGTTTAGAGGTCAGAATGTCAGCAGCGGCGGGGCGGCGGCAGTGATGTGGATTCAACGTTGATTGCAATATTCACCACAATGATGGGTCATATCTGGTGAGACAGGGACAAAGGTCAAGCGATCAGCTTCCAGTGAGGGTTACAGAAAGGTTGTGCTTATCACACACAGACACAATCACACACACCTTGACTGTGGAAGCGTGTCTGTGCTTTCCTTCAGCAGCAGCTCCGAGACCAGTGTGTCCAGAATCTCAGGACTGGACCTCTTCCCATACCTGAGACACAAAGAGAGACACATGGACAGATAGACGGACATGCATGGAGACATATTAATATGAGGCTTTTACATTTATTGCAATAAAAAGCTCAACCTTTTGGCTGGAGCATAAGAAAAGGTGAAAGGAAAAGAAGAACTTGGCATATAAGCAGACACAGGGTAACACACAACTGAGCCCATAACTCTGCATGTCCTCCCGCCTTTTGTCTCATCAAAAGCGCCATGAAAAGTGAACACAGTCAGACCGAGACCCAGCAGGCACAGACAGGAGTTGCCTTGCGGGTGGTCGTATTTCCTTTTTTCTGTCCCTCAGATGATAAGCTGTGCCAGCGCGCTCATCCTGCTGGGTGGCTAAATGCCTGCAGCAGCATCCGAGCCCCTGACATTCAGAGGAAACCTGGAAACGGGGTGACATGCAGAGGCAGTCACTTCTCCTCAGATTTTTACTTTCCTTTTTTTTGTATTTACAGGAGGTAACTGGGCAGCAGGTATTCCCTGATCTGAAACAAGTGAGAGGGAATAAGTTGGTGCCACCAGACCTGCCAGAGTCACTCTGTTTAATAGATGTACTCTGTATTCTCATCTTACATAAAAAGAATGTCACCTGTTGATGTAGTGTCCCCTTAAAGAGCAACAATACAAATGTAAATGAATAACATATATCATTTATAACCTGCCAAAATTCAAAAACTGAATTCCTACTTATCTGAGATATGGCACACTAGGAATTAAGGAGAAAATGCCTTAAAGTAGAAGAACACAACAGTACATTTTTAGCTGATAACTGCAATTGCATTATCTGCAGAAGATTTAAATAATCAGAGATTGATATAATAGAATGAAGCAAAATTAAACACATTATATAGGTCTTTGTCAAGTCATTTTAAGAGGAAATCAATTCAAACCAGACCTCCAACTTGTACATTCTGATATTTCACTGTGCCATTTGCTGTGCTGATCTCTTATATGAAGATGTGATTAGTCCGCCTACCTCTGTCTTGTGATGAGGTTGATGTAGTGTCTCAGGGCTGAGTAGTATTTGGCCAGTTCCTCCGCCGGGGCGTCATCCCCGGGGTTCTCCGGTTTCACCGGGTATCCCTCGGACAGGGCGCTCAGGCAGAGCAGTGCCCACAGCAGGAGCCCCAGAGTCCCCAGCCAGCTCACCAAGTTAGGATGCATCTGCAGAGCAGGAGGAAAACTGATTAATATAGCAATAATAATACAAGTTTCATGAATTATTACTATCCACTAAGCTGATATTGACCTTTTATAGCTTTAAATCATTGCTTGAGGAATACATCTCCAGTTGGTCCGAATAAAAAAAACATGCACACATTATTATTAATGCCGGAGCTCCAATAACCCAGAAAAAGTCCAGTGGAAATACTTCAATCAAGTTTTTAAATGAATGCAAGTCTTTTCTGATAGATACTCACAATTCTCGGTAGGTCAGGAGAAGGTTTGTGCGTTGTCTTGGTGCGTCTCTTCAGCTCTTCTGGGCGCTTGGTGTGCGCTGCGTGCTTTTATATCCGTGTGCGCCAGACGAGCTGCAGACAAACGCGTCAGAGCTGCGCCCGCACATGGCGCAAGTCTCAAGTGCCTTTTCCTCATGTGAACGTCACAGCTGATGCTAGTGTGCGTATTTTTTTTTATTCTGAACCTATTTACGTTAATTTGAAATAAGTAAAATAACAAACTAAAAATAGAGTGAGTTGATAAGCCTCGTTTCTGAGACCAGTTAAGGATGAAGTCTTCTTTATAAAAAACATTGAAGGATGCTGCACTGAACAAGACAACCAATGTTCCTTTGAGAACATTACATGAATAGTTCAGTCATTATTCACTATAATAAGTTCACGTACTCACTGTTGCACATCTGACATGTATAATTCCCCTGGAAATAGGAAAAAAAAACAACACACACACACACCCTAAGGTTAAATATCACAATTTAATGCCTAACCCTAACCCGAACACTAATTCTAATCCTAATCTTAAAACCAAATTTTAACCCTCAAACAAGTCTTTTAAAAAGTGAGGACAGGCCAAGATGTCCTCACTCCATAAGGGCTATGCTAAAAATTGTCTTCACAAATACAAGTGCACACACAGCCCATAATAACGTTTGTATTCAGAAATACAGACTGACAGCAACATCGATGTTTTGGTGTTTATGAGTCTAAAAGATGATGAATTATTTCACAATCAAATAGTGATTCTTCTGCATGATTGGTTCAATAACCCTTTCTGAAGTCACGAAAGAATGGCAGTAATCTAATATGGTGGGCAAACTTCAGATGAATCTTCCACAGGTGGCCTTCCAACCAAAAGAAGCTCATCAGACGATACCTCGGCTGATCTGGAATACAAAGATCTCAAACGGAGTCATGTTCATGATGGCTTTTTAACGCATCGTTTGAATCGGCACACTGATTTCATTTTGCAGTTCACTCCATCTGATGGAACGAGAGACTGTGACACTTAACCTGAACAAAAGGCCTAAATGTGAATATTGAGACACGTCAGCCAAAGAAGAGCCCAATCTCAAAGATACCCACTTAATAAGAAAATCTAAATAGCACTTCAACTGAATCTGTATCATCAAGTGCTTCATTTACCTCTCATTCATAATCCTTTTGTACAGCGGCTGGCAGCCATATAATCTATTAAAATTGGGAGTCTTCAGCTGAGCTGCTATTTAACTTGAGCAGAGGATGTGTTAAGGGCTTTTTGTGTGGCACAGGATGCCAAGAGGGAGATGAGCAATGAGACACAAGTGAGAGAATGTCAGGACCCGATCATGAGGATCTCAAGACTTCTTCAGGGGATACAGGCACACTGAGTGACTCACTTCAATAGATCTAGCAATTTGTAAGCAAACAGCTTGCACCTATATGCAAGCCTGTGACCTGTAAATAACATAGATGCATAAAGCGTTTGGAAAACGTCGAGAGGTAAGTTTATGTTTGCTTCAACGCTAGTGTAATAGCCACAGGTGAGATTGGACTAAATGTACATCGTCTGAATTCACAGCTCATGGATCATAGAGCCACAAGAGTCGTCAGCAGAAGTCGAGGTCGAGATCCATCAAAGAAAAAGAAAAATCCATCAGTATGTTCAGGAAATACAATGAAATGTCTTATTAAGTTTTGTTGTTTTGTTTTGCCATGACAGAAAATCATTTTGTGAGCTTCTTTGAATGGTACCAAATGAATTGGAACTTCGTTGGCCTGCAACATTTTATTGCATTATTTGTTTTGTTAATTAGTATCTTGTGAAAGAGGGGCAGATTATATGTGGTTATCCTTCTTTCTCCTCCTTTTCATTCAAGATTTTAGATTTTGCTTTTGCATTTAAATTGCTTTGTTTGGTCGATGGATGAAATAAACTTGCTAGAGAAGTTAAGGAAGTGAATTCTTGTTTGCACAGAATATTAAGCAATTATTGTTTTGAGCTAAATGCTAGCTGGGTAATCTCTCAATGACAATGCTATCATGTTGATAGTTAAAGTCCTCCATCTCAGTTTAACATGCTAACTTTTTCCAATAAGAAATAAACACAACTGAGACCAATGAGAAAGATACATTATTTGTTGAAATCCACCCAATACCTCGAGCTAAATAAGGAACCGTTGACTCAAAAGGATTCATCAAAGTGACATTAATTTAATTTTACTCATTTAGCCCTTTCAGGTTCTTTGGTCTTAACGCGATGACGCACAGCTTGTAGTCAAAATCTGCTGGATTTCTGTGCAGCTCAAAAAAGGAAGGGGGCGCTGTTTCAGCTTGAGGGAAAGACAAATGAAAAATAGAGCATTGCAATTGGGATTCAGGGGAAGTGTGGCCATTAATTTTGCAGCACTTATGATATCAATGCTATTAAAAAGATAGCTACCAATCTTCTTCAGTACGGTCCTGGTTGTTTACGCTAATTAAACCAATCAATATAACCACAATTAATGTAATAATAATACAGTGCTGCTGTATATGTAGCACCTTTAGGCAAACGGAAGAATCTCCCGGAGCTCTGCTTGTCGTTATCAGAAATCATTTCTTTGGCGAACGAGTCCTTTTAGAGAGCTAGCTGTTTAAATGCAAATTTGTTTTCTCCTTTCCTCAACAGCCTCCTGGTTTGGACAATAAGTTATCTCCCAGGATTTGTCAAGATGAAAAGGCCTGTAATTTTCTGTGGCTGTGAATCACACTTTTCAGATTTACAGTGTGTACGACTGCAGAAGGAAATACTGACAAGCAGACTGCCTGTAGCGTCTCTATCAGGTTGCATGAAGGCGCACCGGGAATGCAAATTATAAAAAGGCTAGATCTCATACAGCTTTGGTCCTTTCTAGGCTGTTACGGCATTTTTACACGTAACTCTGACATCTAAATTGGCGCCTCTGACTACACTATTGTCCTATGGTGACAATCTGTTACTGCTGGTAAGCAAGCACTACTATTACTGATAGAGCAACAACAGCCAGTTGTTGTACCGTCGTGGGCTGCAGCTTCCAACTAAAGGGGATTCGAGTCAAGGAGAACTATAGGTTCATGATGAAGGTTTATGGGATATATCCGCTAGATTTTTTTTGTAGCTTTGGTAAACGATGTATGAATATATATTAATACTGCTTCAGTGTGATTTCTATTAAGGCCTCAACAATAACTGGGTTGCTCTTGAAGAACCGAAGATGTATTATTTCTCATTTCCACTGTTAGTGACCAACACACGAGCAACACACAATCCACAATCAACAATCCTTAATAGCAATTGCTAAAACATGAAATCATAGAGGACAAATGAGTTTCTACATTTTTGCTGAGTAAGTGCATCGCTCTATGAGGAAATAACATAAAAAATATTTCCTTTGCTGTTTTCTCGCTTGTTCCTTGATCTCACTAACTGTCAGCTCATGTAATCTCAGTGTTTTAATTTACCTGTCTCTAACCTCTCCTCTCTATGTTCCTTGCTGTCTTCTGTGATCCCTTTACAGAGTGTCTGTCTTTGTGTGAATATAAACGTGTCCCTGCCACATCTGCTCCTGGGGTGGGAAGCAGAACAAACATCACGTCAAGAGAAGCTTCATATAATGTCTTTGATTGACAGACAGACAGGGGATGGTGGCAGCTCAGTGGGCTCAGGTGTGCAGGTCAGAGTCCTGAGCCTTAACATGAGGAAACCTGATGAAAGTTGTAAGTACGTCAAAGGGCACGAAACTTTGGTTTAATAACTGTTGTGACCTGTGTTAGAGCACAGGTGTCTGGACGTGTCACTGCTATGTCAGTTTGTCGGTGTGTTGGAAGTCTGAAACTAATGAAGGCTTATAAGTGATATTTACCTTTTACCATTTTCATGTATTAATTGTAATTTAGTGATTGAAAACATCTTTAACATGGTGACCTTTATCAGGAAGCAATAATTCATCATTATTAAATATTAATATGATTATAAACTGTAAAATGGTGTTAAATTGGTGACAATCCATGTAGGTTATGGAAGATGTAGTGTCAAGAAACACATATTAAAGAGGAACACATGCTACCACATGCTACCAGCAAGTGGTATGTGGATAGCATGTGGTTAGTCAGTGGGTAAATAGTGTTTCTAGACACCACATCCGCCATAACCTGCAATGGCAGCAGTTTCAAATTCCGACCCAGGCCTTTTGGTCTTCCTCTATTCCCCTTTGCCGTTTCACACATGTATTTTCCTCAATAAAGGCAAAAAAGCCCAAACTTTGTCTTAAAAAAGAAACACCTATCAAAACCCCTAATCCTTTAACAGGCTTTTATGTTTATGGTGGATATTATTGTATTTAAACCGATGACAAGCACATGCACAAATGCAGAAGAATGTCATGATGCCTGAATCCCGTCACTTTTTCTTTAACGTTCAATCGTTGATTATTGATTTAACTAACCTATACAACATCCCCCTGTTTTTTATCATAGTGCTTTGTGAAAAAAGTTAAATCCATTTCTCTCCCCACTCGCTCCTCATCCTCCTCCTCAAGTCTGTCGACGCAGGAGGGGATCGAAGCAAAAACCTCTGTGAAGTCACTGCGTTGTCAATTTCCCACTGTTTCTACGACAAAACAGAAACACACACACATTTAGGAGACCGTGGTTGGTTTTTGTTCTTTGTAGAAATAGCAGAAGCTGTATGCTGATAGAGTAAGGTCTGTCCTAAAGGGAAAACAGAGACAGACTTGGCAGTTGCAGGAGAGACAATAGTGTGAAGCACTGAAAATGTGAGTGGATGGTGCTTAAAGGTAACTTTAACGTCCATTATTTAAACTGTTTTAATCAACATCATTCCTCTCATTAGTACCTGGTTGACAGTTTCAAGTAAATCATACGTGCCTGTCAGTCTTGTCCTGTGTTGGCCCCGCCTCAGTTTTTGCTTTACCTCTCGCTCAATCTGTGGGGAAATTAGTGGAGTGTGTTCTTCGTCTCCAGTTCAGTCAGTGTGTGCATACCCTAACTGTCACTGGGGTAATTCAGTATTTCCTTGAGCCGTAATTGCCAATTTAATCTCCTGATTTGTAACATCGGATCTGTCAGTCAAACTGGGCGTGGTTTCCATGGGGATAAGGGAAGAGTTGTAGTCATTCCCTCTAACCAACACCAGAGTAAATGACTTGTAGTCTCTTGAATGGAGGTTGCCATGGCGAGCCAATTACCCTAAATTGTAATTGTGCCAGACTAATGTGCCAGGCCTCCAACTCTTAAATTAATTGGGTTTTCGCTCTTTCACTCCACTGACTCCTTCATTTTTTGTCAGAGAAGATCTCTATGAGAAAGAATGTCCAGGAGTAAGCATTGGAATCAGGTTAAGTGTTTTTTTTAAAAGGATGCTTGATTATAACAGTCAACAAAGCTCTTCAGAGAAGCAAATAGGAAACATGATTGGTTTAAAGTGTGGATGCGATTGTGAATTTGTGCGTATGTACTCTATGCTGTGGTAACCTGATGCCACAGTTGTCATTGATACACGGTGAAATTGAAGTGTCAGCTTTCAGATGGGACCCAGGTGCATCCATGGTGGGCCTCAGGTGTACCCCTACTACTTATTCTTAAGACCACCTGTTCAGCTCACACACACACACACACATGCACACTTATTTGTACTTCTATCTCAGTGACTCATTGATATAATGCATTCCCAAACCCTTTAAATCAACCATAAACATCACAACTAAATGCCTAAACCTAATTCTAACCAAAAACAAAGTCTCAGCCCTCAAACAACCCTTTAATTTGATTTAGAAAGTGAGCACTGGTGAAAATGTCCTCACTTCATCTGGTTTACAGATCAAACTGGTCCTCACAAAGATAGAAGTACAAGTTAAAACACACTCACACACACCTCGTTCCCTCAGGTTATACATCCATTACAACACAGGTGACTTGAGATGCACCGGTCAGCACCAGTGGGGATGCTGATCCAGTATGACTTGCCCATCTGCACAGTGGGAACACATGAGTGGGAGTGAATCCTCATTCAGATCCCTGTTAAATGCATTTCTCACATTAAAAAAGACGCAGGAACGTGGGCTGCCAATCAGACAAACCTCCTTCAATCTCCATTCACCGTGTGGATTAAATCAGCTCTCATCACTGCTGATCTGCCGTGAGGAATGGGATTAATCAATCGGAGACAATGCATCTATCTGCAAATTAAAAACGCTGCTTGTAGCATCCATGGTTTTGATGTTATTTTGGTGAGGTGTTGAGTGGGCGGCTTAAGAGAACATCAATCACACAAACAGATGTGTAAACTGACCAATTTATGGAACACGTATAAGGAGACGTTGTCAGAAAACTGCAAAAGGGTATCAGCAGTATGAGCTACTGTACAATTCATATTTGTCAGCCGATATAACACCACATGCTCAACATCATTTAGCCAACCAGACAATTTCAAGACGTTAAAAATTCCATCTTCTGATCGCAGAATCTTAATTTTTCTTTGACGAACCACAAACCAACCAAGTCCAACACTGATGACATCTCCCATATGGATTGCATCCCTAATGGTTGTGGTTCTTCTTGAATGTGCATGGTTGGTTCACCCTTGATGCTGAGCTTCTCTGCAAACAGCTGTCTTCTGTGTCTTGATCTGGATAAGATAGAGGAGTTTATCATAGAAATCAGATGTGACCGTGACCAACAAATAACGTGTGTTTCACAGATATGGAACTTATTCAATATTTACAGTATGTAAATACAACATTGCCCCTGACGGCTGTATAGGAGAGATTGTATGATAAAGTGCTGCATGTGGAAGAACTGTATGAATATGTGCATGAATGTGGGAATAAAACCATTGATGTGCACTACCTGTACCAGGACTAAAGTTTAACTACCTAGAACATATTTATATTTTACTTTTTCTAATTAATTTATCATACAGCAAAAGCCAAGTCGTGGAGTAATCAGTCAACAGCATATTAAATCATGCATAATTAACCACACGTGAATGGATGATAAATGTAATTAATGTCGCACATTCAGTCATTAATGAAATTTTCCCTGGTTTTCAGAGGAGATGAAAATGACCCCTCAAAAGATGAGGAAGCCATTAGAAATAATGAACCCAAGTTGACTTGCTGGCAACATTTTTTTTCTATTTTAAAATTATGTAATCAATCTGTCAGCAATATGAAAAACATGTAGTTTTGTATCCTATAATCTGGTTATCCAGCACTGATGCTGCGCTGCTCTTTGCTGCCCTCACATGCCTGTCAGGGGAACTTTCTTAACCTTTTGTCCAATGCATGCACACGTCACTATGCTTCAGTCGTAACAGAGGCTGGATGAATAGAAGAAGGCCTGAGCTGAGACTCAGCTCGACTGGTATTCGTTGTGCCTGCGAGCTGATGTTGCTCCATGTGACCACATGTGCAAGGAATATTCCAGACTCATGATACCAGACAGAGAACAAAGCTCTACTCTCATCCTACACACGCACACTTTTAGGATGGATCTGTTATTGTAGCTTCTCTGTAGATTACCCTGTACCTGAGCCACAGGCCTCCAGGTTGAGGTAGCCATCCAGTAGGGAGCTGAACCCTGTCAGTCCCCCCATGGCAGCATACGGGACATCCCTGCCCACAGGCCGACCCCGCGCCTCCCTCTCAGATTTTGTCTCAACCTACAATGTGAAATAAATCTTGTTGGCAAAGCAATTTTGTAAAGTCATGTCAACCGAGATCCTGTGTTAAAAGTTTGACTCACCAGGGTGTGGTGGGCAGAGCTGCGCTGGCCGCACCCACAGATGAAGGTGCTCTGAAACCCAGAACAGGAACTGCCTGGGAAAAAAGAGTTTATAAGATCAGGAATGTGTAAATTAGCTTTAACATTAGCTGTATACCAGATTCCTCTTGGGTGAGAGATTATTTTGGCTAGTGTGACCCATATATAATGATTTTCGAACTTACATTTCTTGCACAAGTGTCCCGTGGCTTCGCTGTGGTCCTGAGGTAGGTGCTTACACCTGCAGCGGACAGGGTTTGACCCATTTTGAGGAACAAACTGAAAGGCGGGACAGCGACATCCCCTCACCTGACATGGTAGGGCCAGGGGCCGCTCAGAGGGAACCACCTCAAACACTGTCTTGTGTTGCTTGTACCTGGACAACATCATATGACTTACAAATGTATGTCTGCATGTTAGGGAGATGGGTGTCTCATTTAATATGTGATGGTATATTACAGTACCTATGTGAGCAGAAGCACTGAGTCTCTGGACCAATCAGTTTGCAGTCGATACCATCAGGCATCCCAAAGCTCACATACAGCCTGTTTTTCATGCGTCGAGCGAGGACCGTCCTCTTGTACTCCTCATACTGATCTGGGCTCATCAGCCTGCCTCCATCATCATCACCCACAATCCTTACAAAGACAAACTTCTATTAGATACAGTTAAGATACTTGTTTAAAATATAACTTTAGACCCACCAATGGTTATTAAAGCTGCTATCTACTTTGCTTTAATAACCACTGGTGGGTCTAAAGTTATATTTTAAGCATACATTCTGACATTGAGACAAACCTCCTGTACTCGCAGTACTCATCCACTGCTTTTAAAGCTGATTTATCAAGACTTATCCTCTCCATGGTCAGATATCCAAAAACTGATAGCTGTGGGCTTTTTGTCGAGTGCAACGAACAACTTCTGTTTACCTACAACCTAGAGGTTCCCATGGAGATGGATGTAGACATCCCTCTAATGGTAAAAAAAAGAACTGCAGAAAAGGAAAGAAAATAAATAATAGTAATAGTAACATTAAAAACTATGGAAGACTATTCAAGCCAGGAATCTGATTATTTTTGCCTTTTTGAATTTAAATAAAATATTGATATGATAATATTGATATACTGAATCAGTAGAAGATTCTTTTGCATTTGAAGAATAGAGTAGACATAAAGTCCATGATCAAATCCAGCTGCCAGTGGTTTCTCCCTCTGAACAGACAAGTCACAATCTCTTCAAAGACAAAATACTGCATGGTCATCACATTGTGTTTATGTGTGAAAGATTTTCCTTTGATCAAATAAATATCTTATTCAGTTTGACTTTAGTCTTGACATGCGGACTTCATTTGCAATATTGAAAAACAACTCCTTTTTCAACTTTTTCCTTGGAATTTTGTCGTGATTCTCAATATGCAATATTAAATAACAAATATCCTTTGATTTTTTTTGTCATCTTTATTATCTCATCAGATTTTATCTTATATGTTGTGCCTATAGCTAAAATATTAAACAACAAACTATAGCGTTGTGCAGCTCTGACACCATATGTTGTTGCCTTATAGCTTTAATCTAGCTGGTCAGCATTTAAATTGTTCACCTTCACTAAACATTTCGACCATCTCCCCCTGACAACATGTCTCGTGTTGCATTATTTTGCATGCATTACTTTTTACACACACTTGCATCCTAAAGACGGCTGGCAGTATGACTACATCTCCCATCATGCCGTGCTGATGACGCACGCAGCGGACGTCCTGGGGAACCATGACAGTCCGCACAGACTCATGCTCTGAATTCTAGCTGCCGACTCTCTCCTGCAGTGACCCCCGCGTCCCAGAGGAAGAAGCCGAGCCGAGGAGCGCGGTGAGCGGACACTTCATCGCGGAGCTCGGCCCCGACGTTTTTATTCGGCTTGAATCGCAGCGGGGGACAGGAGGCGGTTTCCTCCCCGGACACGGCGACAGAGGTGCGGGGTTGCCAAACAACAAGCATCATTCAGTGTCAGCCAGCAGCGGCAGCAGCAGCAGCCGGAGATCCCTGCTCTCTCTTCCCTCCGCTTATTCCTGCTTCATGGTCGCTGCTAAAACAACACACCGGGTACAGTCAAGCGTCCGCTTCCCTCCTGCTCACCGCCACATGCACGCACAATGTCCTGTTTGAGCTGAATGCGCAGTTTGCAGTTTGTAGCCGAGCTAACACGTCGAGCTAACACGAAATGTTGGTGGAGTTGAAAACAGTTCCAGATGAGGTCGAGCAGAGGTTAACATTGATCTTTACATCGATTTTAACTGGGTAAAGTGTTGTGTTGTTGACTTTGAAGATGTGTGTGTAACTTCACACAGTGCGGGTCCATGTTTGCTAAGTAGTCCACATATGGTGAGTTAGTACAACTGTGTGTTTATGCTAGTGGTCATGCACGTACAGTAGGGCTGGTCAATAAAACAATATAAATAATAATCATCGAAATGTTATTGTCACCAATAACAATATAACCAATTTATATATTAACTACAATTATAGGGAGGAGGTATAAACAATGTATTAATCTACCTCAGATTGCTGTTTATAAAGTGTTTGTCATTCTCTGTCCACGTAAAAGAGTTTAAAACCTCAATCTTCACTCAGAAGCTAAACTCCTGACCTATTATAACAATAATGTGAGATTTATCATGATAATTATCACTATCGCCAATATTGTGAATTTTCAGCCATATCACTCAACCCTTCATTCACAGCCTCTAAACCTCCACATCTAATATATCTCCACTTTCTCTCCAATCATGTCATCTTAAGTTTATGCTCAGCGGATCATCTTTCTGTCGCTGGGTCTACCAGCTGTTCAGTCACAGGTGACAGCTGGCGTGGTCAATATTTAACCTCTAGTTTAATTATTTGACAGACGCCGCGTGCCTTATCGCAGTCAATCGTCCCTTTTGGTTACGGTCTTCGTCCACAAGCGGAATATTCATTCCAAGAGCTGTGCCTTTCCACAGAACAATAAGCAGGTCTGCTTGTGTGTTCAGCCATGTGAGGAAAAGACAGAACAGGGTCTGAATGTAAAAACTGTTGTGGGTAAGATAAACATGATCTATTGAAGACACTGTTCTTAAGGCCTCATCAGCTCCTGCTCTGAGTGGCAGACACAGCTTACACTCAATCTGTCAACATGGTACTTTCCATGCACAGTGAGTTAAAAATCTCCAGGCTGTACGTGATTGTGCATGAGGCAGGGTATCATGCATTGTCTGCAGAGATGTGTGTGAGCTAGCGCCTCTAGTTTTATTTAGTTCTGTTGTTTTTTTAGTAAATGTACAGCACTGTGATGAGTAGTTCAATTAGCTGAGTAAATGTCTGTATTTTTCATCAGGAGACAGAAAGCATAATTTTATATGGTCGTCAGGGAATTTATGCTTCACGTGGAGGCAAAAACATTAGTCAGCTGCTTACTGAAACTGAAAGCTAAAGGTTGCAGCACCTGCAGTGGGCGGTAATGCTGTGTTGATGGAGGATTTTCATGTTTTTCAGAATACATTTTGCTTCCCTGCTGTTTTCCACTGTGACTTCTCCTCCCTTGTCGTTGCATGCTGACACACAGGAGTGTCCAGGTCATAGGAAGGACGCATTTGTGTGTGCGTGTACTGACAGAGGGAAGCACAGCTAAACAGATTCTGTTACCTTTCCTTTCATAATTAATTCCATCAGATATTGTCCCCTCTCAGACCTCAATAGGAAGTGAAACTACCACACCCAAGAGAGAACACAGAGAATGAACCCATTGACAAACTTGTGAAAACTGAGAAATGATCGTCTAATCCTCCCCCCTTGCAATCTCGGGTTATTTGTCATTGTACAGGTGGGATTAGAGGATGAATGCTTTCTGCCTCTGTCTGTTACTGTGTCTTCGTATCTAGAGCTGTAAAGTGGGTCCCTTGTAATCTAAACTGGTAATCAGGTTTCTGGGCTAAGAGGGCTGAAAAAGATTTGTTGATGACTGAGTGGGCTATTGTGCACCATGACCCAAAGCAGCTGAGAGAGCTATCTGCAATTGTCAGTGAATAGTACAGGAAGTCACTTTGACAAGGTCACCAGCTTCTTGCCAACCAGAAATCCTCATCGTCAGTTTCAATAAAAACCATGATGCACAGCAGAGCCCTGAGCCGAGTATAAATTGAAATAAAAGGGAATGCAAAATGAAGCATAAAACTTTGTTTATTTAGTTAATTTATCTTGACTACTAGCATTACATGTTACTTCTTTGTTGTTGATTTTCTTCTCTCTTTTGGTCTACTCTTTCAACACAGTCGACAATGTCTGCCAACATCCTGCCTGAACGCCCCGTCTCCATTCGTGATTTGGTTTTTGACATCTTGCAACAAAAGCACCTACCCAAAGCTGTCTGACTACTGGTGTCTGTGGGCGTCAGCTTCTCAATCGTTCCACTTCCTGGCATCTGCAGCCGTTCAAAACTCTTTCATCTCTCAACAGTGGCGGGATGCACTAATGTTCAGAGACTTCTTTCAACAAGGGAATCACAGGCCCTGCTGGAGTTAACTCGAGCTAAGTGCTGAACCCTTACCACCTCTAGCAATGTTTCTCAGTGGACTCTAAACTCTGACCTTGCTGTGGATAAAGACAGCAGAGAAAAAGTGAACCTCACACTCTATCATAGTCATAATCAAAGGCAAGAGCTTCAGCCTCAGGCCAGGCCCCCTTCCTTTTCACCACTCCCCCCAGTATCATGCTGGGTGCACTCCTGCGCAGAAACATGTCACAGAGGTTGAGTTTGCTGCTGCTGCTATTTGGCCTGGCGTGGGGTCTCATGCTGCTGCGCTACACTGTGCAGCAGCCTCGACATCAGAGCAGCGGCGAGCTACGCGAGCAGATCCTGGAGCTCAGTCGGCGATATGTCAAGGTCCTGACGGAGGAGAACCAGAATGCACTCGGTGGACCGCAGGGAACCTCCATGGCTGGTTATGGTAAGTAAGAAGAAGTCGAATGTCGCCACTCTCTGTCCTGCACATGAAATTGCTTGCTCATTCCTGTATGAACATTGTGTGTTGATATTTGTGAAAAAGATATTGATTGGTTTTCTCCCGTGTGTTTTCTTTCTCCTACGCTCACACAGCTGATCTGAAGAGGACTATAGCTGTGTTGCTGGATGACATCCTGACACGGCTGGTCAAACTGGAGGGGAAAATCGAATCTGTGGCCAATGCCTCCTCTACAAACACTTCCCACACAGCAGGGGGCGTACTTGCCTCCAGCCACCCTGGGACGTCCCGCCTCCACCCACACATCCCTAATAGGCCTCGACCACATCAAGGAGCATAGCTTTGATTGGCTGTAGAGTTTCTGTTTTTAGCACGTCACACTTTTCCAGCATTTATCACTGATGTTACGGCATCAGGCAAATGAGAAGCAATAGACAGACATATGGACATCCAGAAAGGACTGCTCTTGGGATGCTTATCAGAAATGTTCAGCCAGCTCAGAGGGAAGAGGGAGGACTTTTTCATGCCCTGTCCTATCATATGCTGATATTTATAATTTTTTTTACCAAGATTATCCATTGCGTTTTTATATTTTATTCGGTTAAAATTTTTGAATTTTTTTTATAATGCCATAAATTAGGCTATTTAAGAGATGTAAAACTCACACAGAATTAAAAAGGAATCATGAAAGACGGCTTAAAACGCTCCTCTGTTTATATTAAAATATAAACAAAGATTTTACAATACTGCTTAAACGTATCAAAATGCTGAACTAAACAGTATCAGTGGTCGTGATAGTTAGGAATGGCAATATTTCACTTATTTGCTGGTGCAGTTCCTAAATACTGTGTGAAGAGGATTCTTCTTTTAGCTTAGACATGTGGGGATTTATAAGGATAATGAAACTGTGTAATTCAGCTGTTTGAGATAATCCAAAGAATGTTATTTGCACTCCATCCGAATGCAGTGTAAATTTCAATTTACAAGTGCTGCGAGACAATGCTGGGTTATTGCCGAATACGATCGTACGACGCCCATCTGCGGCTGTAAACATGAGTGTGTCTGTGATTCGTCTCAGCTGTAATCCAGTGGGTGAGAGATGTTTTAATTCACATGCAAAACAGATTGATTGTACCATGTGGTCCGTGTTTAGCCCTGTAGTGCTCTTAAGATGACTGACCTACTGCTTTCACATGTTCAGGGTTCATGTTGCACTGTGACTCTATAGATGTTTTCTAAAAATACTGGGCTCATCAACTTTGACTTTAGGGATATTTTAAGTTCTGAAATATTCATTATTCCAGCTGCCCCCTGAGTATGATTTCTAAAATACTGACAAACCACAGCTCACCCTGTCTTGCACAGCAGTAGAAATGTCTTTTAAGTGCTTATCATGATGCTCTTTAACATGATGACTTTGTTCTGCCACAAAGAAGAGCAATACTTTCATCAATGATACTTGAGGATTGTATGACGGAAATCTAAATATGAAGAAAATATAATTAAAACGTAAACTAATTGTCGTGCTTCATATTTTTGCTGCCATATGTAAATGTTAACAATATGTGTATTTGTTGGCTGGTTTATGTTTTTTTATTGGTTTGACACTACGGAACATAATTGTTTGCTTCATGATAAGCCAGTCAGCTGCTTGAAGATTGCTTTACTAATAAATTGACCTCATGAAAACTGTTCCCCACCCATTTAAATCAATGTTTATGTTAGACCTTACACGTAATACTGTGATTACCAAAGAGGTAATCTCCCATGTGTCTTCAAGGTGTGTGAGAGTGAGTACATTTCAAGTTTGAATTATAATAATAATGACTGTATTTATACAGCGCATTTCAAGGTACGCCAGGCTGCTTGAAAACTTAAGAAACCAAAAAATAAAACTAGAATGGCACTCTGTAGAGATACATACCTCTGTCAAGGCCTCAGAGTACCCTCAAATTCAGTCAAGTTGCACACGCTCATGTATATCAGTTACCTAAATATGCCCTTTTCCCATAAAGATCCATGAACTATTCCCTGATAAAATGTCAACAAATTCACTCGCAATGTAAAAGAGAGTGATAAAAACATTCTTGGATCCACCCCTTTGTCCGGATCCACAGCAAAATGTATTGGGTCCTTTTTTTTCACAAACGGTTGTGTTTGCGTTATTGTGCTGCCAAACAAACTGGACAGGGGTTGAACCATAACCTCCTTAAACTGCAAAACGCAGAGGTACTTAATAATTCACTGGCCAAATCTTGGTTTTCATGGGCAGTGATGGAAAGCTATTTAATACATGTACTCAAGTATTTTACATGAGTACATTTTACTTATTTCTTAAGTCTTTCTGTTCTTCTCCACTGTATTCACCTGAAATTAGTCAAATGAAATAACTTGTCACCTAACAGGTAAGACTTTTACATCTAAGAATACGGTTTGTTTATAGTGTGTAAATGTTTCCTGCACTTTATATACATTTTTCATTTTCATATATATATTTTATCTATATGAACTGCTATAACACAGAATGTTAAAGTTCACAGTGACTAGTAGTTTAACTTTTAAAACAGGTCTTTTACTTGTAATGGACTGATTAATAAAGTTTACTGTGAGACGTTCACGTGCGCCTCGGATTTTGCACAGAGGGGGCGTGGGCGAAGAGAAAGGAGGTGACGTCAGACTCCGCAGCACATAAACATACAAACCGCCTCACGCGCCATCTTCTAGCGATTAAGCAGCCAGAATAAGAAACTGTGTTAAAGGTCATTGTTTTCTGTCTGTTAGCTAAACTGAGCAATGAGTGATATCGAGGATGGAACCTGTGACCCACGGGTAAGTAGTAACATCGACTGATACCTACATACATCTCCATTTTCTGCCTTTTCGTCTTCTCTTCCGTGTGGCTGACGTAAACACCAAGAGAATCCCCCCCGCTAGCTTAATGTCAGCCTGAGCTAATGCTAAATTATTAGCTCCATGCCCGTGTTACATGCTTCAGCCTCACACACGTGAGACGAGCAGGGAAGTGCTGTGTGTTTGCCCCAGGCTGACAATGTTTAATGAAATAAAAAGTATTTATTTTTAGTTCTTTACTAACTAAAAGTAATTGTTTTAGTTTGACGGTTGTTGCTCAGCTAGCACGACTGCTTCAACCCAACTCCTTCAACCTAGCATGCGGCTCACTGTTAGCGTAATATCACCAGGGTTAGACCTTGGTATTTTCAAATTATCCTAACTTTACGGTTGTAGATTAACTTAACTTGTTTAGGAAATGTTTAAGATCTACTTACGACTTTTGATTATGGCTGCTGCTATTTTTCTATCACTGCTATTGCTGAAACCATCATTGCACATTAGCCACCTGGGTTTTTGCTAAGTCTGCTTTAACATTATTGATGTTAGCTGGAGCCCTAAAGCCACTCTTCCTTCCCTGCTTTCATGCTCTGAATTAGCAAACTGAAACACTGCTAAAACACTATCTATTTACTTGTAGACATTTAATTTAAATTGTTGTAACTTTGCTAGTTTTTATAATGTCTGGAATATTAAAATTTAATGTAATTGTACTGCATTCAGTGTTTCCTTTTTCATTTCATATTCAAGAATTTTTCCTCTTTCCTAAACCTATGATCTTAATTTTATTGAATGTTCTTCTTTCATTAAGGTTATTGATCGTGAAGGATTTGGAAGAGTTTTATCCAAGAATGATGAAGAAAAAATTCAAGATAAACGAAGGCTAATGATGAAAACATGTACAGAGCAGAACATAGAAGCGGAAAGGGAGGAAATGTGACGGAAGAATGGTGTCAGATAGAAGCGCTTGCAGAGTAATGGCTAAAAATGAAACTGGTCAGTTTTGGGAGGAAGAGAGGAAAAACAGACCCGGAATCAGAAAATGAGAAAACTGAAAAAAGAAGAACGAAGAAGGATAGAAACCCTGAGAGAAGGGAGTAGCGTGTAAAGAATCTGGAAGAATGAATGTGTCTCTAGGTTAAGTAAATACACTGTTTGTGTCACACATGTCTTTTCTTTAATGTGCTCCCATTCTGTAACACAAAGATGCATGTTTTATTTTCCTTTGAATTCCCAGGTGGACATTGAAATAGACCAGTCATGCACATTTGTTATACATTATTAATATGCTACATTGTGTGCCAGATAAATATATATTTTTAAATTACAAGATTACTAACCCTTTCCTTCACAGTACATAAGCTGTATATATTTTAGACAACTTTATGTTTGCTACATTCTCTACCACATCCAACTACACCGTGCTTGATTCTGTTTCTGTGTACATAAATGAACATACTTGTCCATGAGAAAGTTAATATGCTGCTGTGGCAATAGGGGTCACGCTCCCCATCAAAATCGGATCGTGGGAGTCCAGCTCGGGTCAAGTCGGAGAGAAGGTCCGGCTCCCCGAGCCCATCCCGGGCCTCCAAACGGTCTGAGTCCAGATCCCGCTCTCGCTCAAAATCTAGGTAAAATACTCCTCAATTTCTCAACTACTTTTGTACATGCATCATATTACATACAAGCAAATGCTCATTGGTTGCACATCCTCTTCTACTCTATCCTCTTCAGGTCTCGTTCTGGGCGGCACTCTAACCGCCGCTATAGCCGTTCACGCTCTCGTTCCTATTCCCACCGGAGGAAGTCCCACTCTCGTTCTTACAGCCCCGAACCCAGGCGCAGGAAGAGCCAGAGCACCTCGCCTATGTCGAGCAGCCGCCACCACAACGGCAGCAGGGTGAGTTAGACAAGAGGAGTAGCAAAAGACACTTTATATATGCTTATGACACAGCCAATATTTTTTTTGTAATATGTATATGCTGCATGAACTGTAAATGATACAAAATTACTTGTGCTCAAAATGTTTTGGGAAAAGAAGTAAAAGACGATTTCATTGTCCCCCACAGGTCTGAAATACACTTGCGGTGGTATCTAGTAGAGACAGCATTATGTGACAAACTAGAGAGAGAGAGAAAGAGGAGTTAAATGATTGGATGGCATTCTCTCAAACAGATTATGAAAAAATAAAATGGCTAAAATGGGTCACTGTTTATACTTGTTAGTATATTGGGTTGGCCACCCCAAGTGATTTAAACATGTGGGAAACTGTAATTTAACCTGCTGCATGCTTTCTCATTCATCTGGCTAATTTTCAAATTGTTTTCATTTTGATATCTAATTATTTCAACACTTGGTCTTTTTATCAATATGAATCTTACTGTTTAGATTAAGAAAATCACTTGCATGAATTGAACACAATGTTGTCCACATGGTTTTGTGTTAGATTGTAAAAAAAATAAATAAAAAAAAGTGTTTATTTCAATTACATGATTTCAGAAGTGCAATCATCAAGAGCACGTGATGATTGTGGTTAATGCTGTGGGAAACTACTTTTACATGACATTTAATAACCCCTGTCATTAACCCTCCCCTCTCCTCATTATATCAACAGAGCCAAGACTTCCCAAAAGAAGCATGCAGTCATGGCGCTGATGCTGATGTTAGGGTATTTGGATTTTCTGACATGTTTTGGAGAAGAGTGATGTAATGTTTGTGTGTGGGTCAAAGGTGCTGCTCCTGATGATGATTATCTGGGTAGAAACAAGGTAGAACTTGCTACAGAAAGACAGTTGGGGCTAGAAATGGCATATTACACTGATTTTCATAGCTGCAATGTACATTTTATCACCTGCCCAGTCAGGATTTCAGGTTGCACAGACTAAGAGAAAATGCAACTAGAAACAAGTTGAAAAAGTACATTTTACATTTGTATACTTGATATTGAGTGATAAATCAAGACGGGAAGTAATAAATGGAAATATGTACGCTTTCTGTATTGAAGGAGGTAAAAGGTAATTATTTTTTCTCAACCAAAAACCACTGACTTTTTGGAGCACACAATTTTATTTTGGTCTCAAACAGGACACAAAGCAGTCTTAAATAGTGCATTAATTATAAATACAGCATGCATGTATCTAAATGAAGTGATAAAGTGCAATACTCCGTAAATGAGGTGCTTAGTTAAACTAGTGTGAGCTAACAACCAAATGTTTGTTTTTGTATGTCTTATCGAATTTTAGTTTTTTTGTGGTGTGCATTTACATTTCTAGGTGGTGAATAAAGGATAAAAGTCATACTTATATCTGCTGGCCTGTGGTATAATGAAGTGAACTGCTGCTTTAAGATCTCTATGTGATAATGCAAACAGGATTTCTTAAGCAAACCGATATTGAATGAAGTTTGTACTTTGTATAAGTGTCCCCGGGGCATCTTTTTTGTATTGTTTCTTTTTAAAGCAGGTTAAGGGGTTATTAAAGCTGTCATTGTTTACCCACTAAGCATTTACTATGCACTGGCACAACTGAAGATGCTTAGAGGGAAGTTTGGGTACTCCGTTGAAAGCGTATATAGAGTTGTACCTTTTTCTTAAAGGTAAAAACTGACTTAGTTTTGAGCTAGCTGTTTAAAAGCAAGTATCCATTGTAATTTGGTTTTATCCCTTAACAGTGAAAAACTCATCAAGTTATTCAAGATTTGGTGCAAGATATTTTTTGGCATACTTCTACAGTTTGTGTCATGTACCCAGTGCATCAAACATTTACTGTAAATTGCAGTTGTGCAAAACATGAGCTGGAGGGCTCTGAAACGCCTTGCCACGGATTCTGACCATTATTGTTGACCCTTCCAGGCGAACCCGGACCCCAGCAAGTGTTTGGGGGTGTTTGGCTTGAGCCTGTACACCACAGAGCGGGACCTGAAGGAGGTGTTTTCGCGATATGGTCCTTTGGCCGGGGTCAATGTGGTGTACGACCAGCGCACGGGCCGCTCTCGTGGCTTCGCCTTCATTTACTTCGAGAGAATCGAGGATTCTAAAGAGGTATGACAAATAAAATGTGATTTTTGATTACTGTGGGATTAGTCAGATGGGGGATTAGTGGTTAGTTAGATGAAAAACAAAACATTTGCTTAAGTTCTACAGCCATATATGCAATTGAAAACTCCACGTCAGAAAAAACACCTGGATTTGTTTTTTCCCCAAATGTAGTTAGGTGTGATTACATATGTATGCCACTAGATGTCTGCCTTGCCACAAATTCCCTCACCTTGCAGTCATGCATCTCATAGCAAAGGTCAATGTGTGTAATGTACTGTAGGTAGGCCTTTGTGAATTGAGTAATTTTTAACAGCTTAGCAATGGTGCTAAATCATCTTTGTTTTGTCCTCCCTCATGTTCTCTAGGCAATGGAGCGAGCCAATGGCATGGAGCTGGACGGGAGGCGCATCCGAGTGGATTATTCCATAACCAAACGTCCCCATACCCCCACACCAGGGATCTACATGGGCCGACCAACCCAGTGCGTTTTACTCATTTGATTTGCGCATTTCTCTTAAAACAGATTTGTAACCATCTACTCTGATTTGGACATGATGCTGTGTTTCACAATAGATGCACTGCCTGAAAGTCAAAGACTTGTTTCCCTTATTTCAACAGCAATGGTAGCGGCGGGGGCGGCAGCGGTGGTGGTGGCAGCAGCAGCGGGAGCGGCAGCAGTAGGAGGGGAAGGGACTCTTACAATGATCGTGGCTATGACCGATACGACAGATACGAGGAGTGTGATTATAGGTACAGGTGTGTAGTGATCTGTGGGTTCTATGTTAGTGTTCTACTCCTGTCTTAAGAGAAAATGTGTTAATTTTTCGTTGTATCTTTGCAGTCGTAGGCGCTCTCCATCACCGTACTACAGTCGATACAGGTCTCGCTCACGGTCTCGCTCTTACAGCCCACGTAAGTGTGAAGAGAAAAGGCATACAATAAGAATCTTGTCTAACTACAACTGTTGTATCAACTCCAGACATGAAATCAGACTGTTGAATATTTAAAAATATTACTGTATAAGTATTTTACTGACTCGCACTTGTACTAATATGAATTTTATGTCTTCTCTCCGCAGGACGATACTAAGCTGATTATTTTAGTGTTCAGCTTCCCTCCAATACCTGATGGTGTGTGACTCACCAAGGGGTTTTCAGAACTGCATGTCTATATCAACAGAACTCCTTTAAGTTCTCAGTTCTTGTTAACATACACTAGATGTCTTGATTTTTAGACGTTTTTTGATAAATCCATGTTGAGTGTGAGCAAAGATTGAAGCCACTGTTCTTTACTGTTGCTCGGTTCTTCCACTCTTGTCCTTCCTTCCTTCGTTTTTTCTGCGGCAGTGATACGTTTTTTGGGGTCAAGAATGGTTTAAAGAGATTTTCTCTGGTCGCTGTTAACTTTGTTTATTTCAGGATTGGGAAAGATTTAAGGTTTTAGTTTAAAAAAAATGGCTAGACTTAATTTTACAAGCTGAATTAAGTAAGTTCATTTGAGAATAAATCTGTATATGTACAGTAAAGATAACAAATTTGATAAATCTCAGTGCTGCTTGTCTGTAGCGGACTTGACTGGTAAGTAGCAGGTAAAATGGTGCTGTAAAATAAAGTGATACCTGGCTTTCAGTGCTTTGTTCTCTGCTCACGTTCACTTATTTTTGTTTTTCTTCGAGGATTCATCGTCTCAGTTTCTCCAGAGAGTATTATGTATTGCCTTTTTAATTGTTTCTTTGTATAGAAATACAAACATATAAAAACAAAGTTTGTACGGTGTTTTTCTGACTTAATGCATGAAGTTGAAGTCGGGCTTTGGTTGTATATAGGTGGGACTTAATACTGTAAGTTGAGTGGGTGAAGTGGGAACACAATTGTGGAGACTTTCACAGAACTAGACAAGCGCCAAGATGTTGTGCACGATTAGAATATGTTCACACAAATTTAAAAGTAGTCAGGAGCCACTCTTTAAAAACCACCGTTTTCAGGCTACACGAATGAAAACATGTAAAGAAGGACTTCAGACTTTTATTGCGCTGCTTTCATTGCATAAGATACAAAGTTCACATGTAAGGAAAAAGTTTGAGTATTCTCACTACATGGTTGTGAGCAAAATATTTGCTCACATTTAGGATCATGGTGCCTTTTAAAGACTTTAAAATGACTTAATGATTTAGTTCACCTCACCAAAGTCAATACAGGATCAGGCATCAACAGAGAGTCAAAATCCTTTTCTCTCCTGAATATTTAAGGTTAGGTTAAATGGATTAAACATCTTGTGATCTTAAAACTGATTGGTTAATAAGTATATGTGGAGGGTTCTTTATCTGTAGACCTAAACCCCAGTAATAAGGCACTCCATTCAAATGGGGTTAATAATCACTGCTGACATGTCGTGGGGCCCCTCAGAGTTATGCCTCCATTCACACTGGCTCAAGATAATTCCTGCGGTTCCAAGGTAGCCACTAGCTGGAGGGATAAAGGGGTCAAAGTATGAGGTCTTTTTCATTAAAGACGCTGAAAGCCACACTTGCATGTCTACAGTTTACATTTCTGCTCATTTTCACCCTTTGATTTTTACGTTGAGTTAACTTAACTCGCTCATACACAATTTCCCTTTGTAGGTTTGTGCGAGGAAATAAATAAACCCTAATATTTAATTAATTGTCCCCTGATATGAGACATAGTGAAGCTTCTTCTCAGCAGTTTCCACTGTATAGAACAGGTGCACATACGGAAGGAAATTTTGATTTATGGTTGGACGAGAGGTTGCGTCCTTAAACACAGGAATTGTCTTTCTCTTTATTGAAATTGCACAATGACACGGGTGTCATGGCCGAGGCTATCCACCAGTAGGTTGACCAGTAGGGGACAGAAAGGGTATTCATGCTGCTGAGATCCCCTGCAGTGATAACTCACCCGTGGAGCTTGGACTCAGATATTCAGAAAGACAGATACATGTACATTATTGTCCTCGTCAGAGAAAGGACAATATCAGGAACAGTGTCAACAGTGTAGTTGCCTGGAGGAAGCATGAAAAAAGTTGAGTCTAATCATTGTTACACACTGGAACCAAAACACATCCTGACTCTACAAAATGTACAACCACCATCTTTTCTCATTTCTCCATCAAATATATCAAAGAAGTTTCCCTGTAGCGGTCAAAGATTTATAATATTTGTTGAGTGAACACACCCATGGTCTGAAAGCTGCAGCTTTAACTTTGTGAGCAGAATAAAAGTAAGATGGCGGGCTCCTAACGTACAGGACAAGGTCTGAAGGTTAACAGGAAACAGCATATGCATGTATTCTTTATGGTTTATACACAGGATGACTGGTGGAGGAGGTGATGGGGGGGGTGTAGAAAGAGAATTGGATTCCCCAACTTCTGCATTCTTTACGTCTGAGCAATAAACATGTGGGTCCACTTGGAAAACCACCATATCAGCTTGTTATGTGACTAGCATATGATTCATTTGTCTGAGAAATATCACCTGACTCTTTTTATCACTGTAATTTGGGTTTTATTTACAGTTTTTGATATTACAGAACTGAATATGTTTTATGAAAATGTTATTTTCAGAGGTAAAATTCATGTAACTCTTTATTTCTGCCCAAATCAAACAAATTAACACGTCATTACTGGGCTAGTAATGTGTGTTTATTACTTTTTAATTGTTGGCACATTTGTCCAAACATAATAAAATATTTTATGAGCAACTATGAAACTATTTGAAGCTTGTAATCAATGTTTTTTCTTTTTTAAATATGAACATCTCTTGAGTTTAATAGAAGTGACAATCCACAGGCGACAGAAAAGTTAACTCCTCATGTCATAACAGCTTTAAAAAGTTTGCTGGTTCAAACGCCCTCTTATATCCACATTAAATCATTTGTTTTTCTGTGATGAAATCGATAACTGTGAGCATCAAGTTGACAAATGCAGGACTTTTCCTTTAAGTCAGTATTAAATACATAACAGCAACATTTTTAACAAGAAACAAAGTATTTTTTCCATTTGAATAAAGAAAAAAGCCACATGCTCCATTTAAGATTTAACAAATTGTGAACTTTATTTTCACAATAAACACAATCCAATGGTAAAATGACAAGTGTGAAAACTTGCAAATCATGTTTCTCTCCACTCTTTTCTTTTTAAGGGGTAGAAATTTTCCTAACACAAGTCACATAGTGAAACTAATCAGTCAAGGTGCTGAGAGCAGTAAACAGCAGCAGCCAGAGGGTATGTTGTCCCACAAAAGAGACAAGGCTCCATGCTAAAACATGGCCATGCAGATAGTACAGTGTGTGACAAGAGTCTGCAAACAGACACTTCCACCAGACTTAAACACTCCATGCACATGTGGCGTTGAAATAATTGATCAAGCTCCACGACAGTAAAAATGCACCCATCTCAAGATCACAAAAAATACAGAAATCCACTCAAGATTATTATAATAAACTACAATTAAGCTGAAATATTAAACAAATAAAACAAATGAGAATTCCAAGCTATTTCACACCATGCAGCATGTAAAATACAATATGTGCAGACTTGAATTTAATTACTTTCAATAACCAAATATTGCATAAATAAATACAAGCAAACATGTGAAACAAAACAATATGATGGTGTAAATATGTCTGACTGCTACAAATAGCACATTTTAAGAAAACAAGGGGCTTATTATTTCTTTTTTTTAAATGCCTTCCTTCACATTTATATAATAATCCTCTCTGCTACAGTTGATTTAAATTGAATAAACGTGTTTATAGTCATTTCCAGGATTTTACTTTTTTTTGTTTTGGGGAAAAAAGGGTGTAAAGTGACGAGAAAACAAGAAAAACAACAACTTCTTACTGGGAATTTTCTCAAATATAAAACACATAAACTGGAATACACTTGCCTTATATACATATATATATTTCCCTGCAAGCAGTAACCCGTTATCGCAGTTATGGAAATAAAAAAAGAAATGTTCCTTGTGTTTTGAGTGGGCACAAACCGCCATTTTCTAATGAGATGCTGGGTGTCATCCCATAGGAGAATATGTGGAGGAGGAAAAAAGAATAGATTTGGAGCTTGTGTGGAAGCATTGGGCATAAAAAGAAAAAGTGTGTCTGGACCCCTAAAAAAAAAAGATAGTTGCATAAGCTCGTAACAGTTTGCAAGAGTTAATGTTGCAGTGGAAGCTCCAGATTCTCCTCAACATGGCGCACAGCACAGTGTTCCCTGGCTGTGTCCGAGGCGGCCAGCCAGTGATGGTTACCACCACTCAAGTGGAAGGAAAACAAATGTTAAGGGTTCAGAAAGAATCACCTAAAGATACGATTTGAAAACAAAGGAATATAGAGGAATCTCACCGGAGAACAGAATCCCTTGTTTCAGTGGAGCCTAAATGGTTTTGATTAAAGGAAAAGGGAGCCTTACGCATGGCGACGCAGACTGAGATCTTGGTCAAAGTTTGGGCTATAAGCTGCAGTTTTTTTTTTTTTACTTAAACAATCTGCCTTAGCCCTCCCCCTCCCCCTCCTTCCTCTCTAGAAATATCCTCTGGCTTCACAGGATCGATTCTGTCGTTTCTGCACCGACATCAACCGCAGAAAATCTCCCCCCTACAACATTATAAGGATGCAGCCTGCTCTGAAACTTTAGGTCAGTTTGTCCCCCTATGGAATTTCTCCATGGCGAGGAGGGGGTCCTGCATACTGGTGGGAGTGAGGGGGGGGGGGGCGGGGAGACTTTCTGTACATTCCACAACGATACATTCACTTCTTCTGCAGCCCCCCCCCTCCCCCCCACACACACACACACAGACACACACACACACACACACACAGGCTGCAGCCATGCATCAGCTCATCTAAACCGACAGAGCCAGGCGAGCGCGCTCACATGACCGCTGTCTCTATACGTCCACGAGCATCTATCCAGCATGGCGCTCCGAGCTCCTGCGCGTGTGTGCGTGCGCGCGCCTCGCAGTGGAAATCGTTGAAGTCAAATAAACTAGGTTGGAAAAAATTGTACGAGCCTAAATGCATCATCAGGAAGCGCCCGTGTCTAATCCAGCTCCATACAGTGAGGAATATATGGAGCTGATCACTGAGGAAGAAGTTAGAGACATTTTAGTTGTTTAAACTAAAAAAAAAACGAATTATAAGACGATTAAAAGTTAGTATAAGTGAGCTTGAAGTGGGCGTTTAAATGTTTTCCTTTTATTCCCTCTCCAGTGAGTTTATTTATAAGAGCTGCCCATGGATGTAAACACAGCCCCTGGAACTTTCTGAGAAGTTGAGCCTGGTTGTGAGAGCAGCTCCGGATCCGCCCGCAGGCTCGTGTTTCGTTAACATCTTTACGTCTCGTGACATGGCCCCGCACAGGAAGCGTGGGGAGAAACGAACGCACGCTTGGCGCGCTGATTCATATAGAATAGAGGAGCCGCGGAGCCAATGAATGAGCGCGCTGAGGCCGAGCCAGCAGCGGTAGTACGGAGCAGGGCTGCGGGTCTCTGATTGGCCGGCGAGCCCGTCCAATCAGAGGGCCCGGTGTGTTTGTTCAGCAGTGGAGGAGCAGACCCCCCCCCCTCACACACACGGCTGGTCACTGGCTGAAGGTCCCATTGAACCAACACTGCCTTTGTAACCTGCTTTTTACACCAGCGTGCACACCTCGGGTCTGCAGAGCCTGCAGGGACACATCATATCAGCTCACTGTGCAGGTTACACCCACCTAAAGTCACTTTTACTGCACATTTTCTTAGTAAAACACACTTTAACTCACTTTTCTATATGACATTGCAAACAGGCTTCTCCAGGGATATGATGCTACCATAAAAAAACATGCATCTTCTCAAGGAAATAACCATTAATGCAATGTAACGTTCACTGTTTACATAGTCAAACCCTATCTGCTCCTTAGAACTCATTCAACAACTCGTATCACATAATTATAGGAGTTAAATGATACACCTAGGGCACACAGACACACAGGCTGCAGAAAACACACACACAGTTATAGTATATGTAGGGCACATATCTCAGGTTATACCGTTACACGTTCTAAACTAATGCAGTTTGGTTGTAAATTCTAAATGCAAATCTTAATGAATGTAGAATTTATTACCAAACCATTGTATCAGAGTGCGTTCATTTAAGGTTTGTGTCAAGTCTACATTCAATTCATGTGTTTGTTGAAGCAGTTTTAACTATTGAACTGTTGGTGAGGCAGTTTCTGGGTCATGCGCAGTCATAGGCCGATGTAGGGTCATCATTAAGGTCATCATTTAACTCCCATGATTCTGTTACATTAGGTGCACTGTCTTGTATGAGCTTTGAGTGGCAAATCAAAAACTAAGTAGGAATTGTAGACAGGAAGTGATTATGTAAATTATTTAAAATATGTTACAGGTGGGATAAGTTTAATAGATAAATGAACAGATCAGATGGGAAACCAATTTGAATACCACAACCCTTATCTAATATACACAAAAATAGAACATGATAGATAGAGATCGGCTAGAATAATGTCAGTAATGGTCACATTAGCATTAACTTTTATCTTGTTTCAAATCTCAAGTTTCATTTGTTATGTGCAGGTTAACACAGGGTGAAAAGTGATGGACGAGAAGAACAGGTCAGCTCAGTGGTGCAATTACCACAATTAAATGTAAATAAAGCAAAGTAAAAATAGGTTAATATGAAAAGGTACAATACAATACAATACTAAGTATACTATATACATATACTATGTATATTTAAGTTTGCTGTGTAACATGTGAAGATGTAGTGATAACTGTAGGAATATAAGCAACTGCATATTTTCCAGAAGTTAGTGAGGAAAAGAAAGTACAGGTGAACAGATGTGCACAGGGACTTTAATAACATTACTGAATTTTACTGATGTAGGATTGGGTGTGTTGATGTGCCTGTGTGTACATTTCGAGGATGGGGTATGGAGTTGGAAGTTGTGCTCTGACAGTATACTGACCTTTATTCCATCAACAGGTAAAGTTGAACCATGCAGCCACTCGCCTCTCTTCACTGCACGGTGACCTGCGCCTGAACCAGGACTTCGACTATGATTTACAAAAGCTCTGATTGACAGTTGTGTAATATTTCTCCATTCCACACGTGATACGACTGGGGCTGTCCCCCTTTCTTTTTTCCTACATGGAACAGACAGAGTGGGCCACTTTCCGCGTGGGAGACCCCTCCCATGTTTGGTAGACGTAAATCCATACGGGCGGTGTAGGAGTGCAGGCTTCGCCATGTGCGCAGGGCCCACATGGCCGCCGCTTCCTGAAAGTTGGTTAAAACTAAAGTGGCGTGGCGGCTCTCATCTCGACACCCACCCCCACCTCAATCCCCTAACTGTGTTTAGTGCGATAATGGGCAAGTCGGGCCTGCTGGTGGACTTTGAGTCGTGGATCGGGGTAGGGCATGGCTCCACTCTAGTCGGAGATGATGGACGCCGTCATGTGGACAACGGTGTACGTGTCAGTCCCGGATTGAGCAAGGGGCCAACCAGCACGGCATGGCACGGGGCCCTCTCCATGATCAACACATGCCAAATTAAAATGTGTCCCCTGTACAATTTAACAACATAGCGCAACATCATTTATGAATGGCCCCACCCCCTCTTTTTTTTTCTCCTACAGCGCACTTTACGCAGCCGTGCGCACAAACCCCAGCAATATCAGCGTCTCCCCCTTGCTGTGGGCGTGCGCGCACTCACTACCATTTTTTTTTTTACAATTCTTCAACCGACCAATGAGAGGGCAGGGTTTTGCAGAGAAAGGCACACGAATGTGATTCTAGTAAAAAATACACTGGGTTCTCACGGAATCCCTTTACGCACAGAGCTCGCCAGGTTTTTTCCCAACGCCAATCCACTCATCCCCTCCTTTCTTTTTTGCTCTCTCTCCACTCCCCTCCTGTGCTGTCCCCACCCCAGATTCCCGTGCAATTTTCCCCAATCCCAAACACTTAATTGAGCAATTGGGATTCCTCACGTGTGGGCTGATTTGTAGTTTGAACACGTGGCTCATTCAAAAAAGCCGGAATAGCAGCGGATTTTTTTTTCTCTCTCTCTCTCTCGCTCTCTCTCTCTCTCCCTCCCTCCCTCCCTCTCTCTCCCCCTTCTCTTGCTGCTTCTTCTTCTTCTTCTTATTCCAGGCTCTGGACTCAGAGGCGGGCACCAGCCTTACCGTGTGTGTGACATTCTCTGTCTCTTTGCCAAAAAAGGGGTTTTGGAGGAAGACGCGCAAAGTAGTTTCCCCTCCTTTATTTTCCCTACCCAGCCCGCCACCGTTTGGAGATTAATAATTGAGCGTTTTATTTATTTGCGCGATAGATAGAGGACGAGAGGGGCGAAGGGAGCGCACCACGCACTGTGTGAGGCTGCCAGTTTAAATCTATCTGTGGCTTGAACGGACCGGGAAGCACGCCACGGCCACTCCGTAGTAGTAAAGGCGATTTAAGGGCTACTCCAAAACAGTGCACGTCCGCGAGCGACGAGCGAACAACTACTATCTCTCCCTCGGCGTAAAAAGAAAAAGATTCTACTCCCCGACGCAGAACATGAATAAGCTATACATTGGCAACGTGAGCGCAGAAGCGAGCGAGGAGGACTTGGAAAGTATCTTCGAGCAGTGGAAGATTCCGCACAGTGGTCCGTTTCTTGTCAAAACTGGCTATGCGTTTGTGGATTGCCCTGACGAGAAGGCTGCCATGAAGGCCATCGATGTTCTTTCAGGTGAGAATTTTTTTTCGGGTTAAAAATTATCAAAAAAGTGCTACTTGGTAAGACGCACAGTGTGGTGCAATTTGTCTGACTATGGCCATTTAGTTAAGGGCCCTTATAAGAAACGCATGCAGGGTGGGGGGTGTATCCAAGCGTCTCTTTTCTCTCACACAACCTTTACTTGGCCTTTTGACACTGTACGCTCAGAGAAGGAGCTTGAGTGAATAACTATCCTCTCCATGTTCATTTTTCACACGAGGGAAAATGGTGGAGTAAACACAAAGCAGGCGTGAGGATGAGAGTAGCAGGGCTTTCCTGGTGCATGTTGTGTGTGTGTGTGTGGTGTGTATAGGATAGTAGGGCGCCCAGGCAGGCTGTGGAGTGAGCCTAGTAGAGGGGCTCTATCACACATAAGTCCATTTTGGCACGGATATAGTAGCACGGGCTCTCTGCCTCTTTTTACCCGTTTCAATTTGAACTCGCACTCTTCTGAAAGTAGCCCACAAGGCCTGCTCGAGTGGCCACAGCGAGACGCTACATTGTGGAGCCATTTCGCCCATGCTGACACACCAGGTGGTTTAATTGTGTTGATCAAATGTAGGCCAACTAAACTGGGCCCCACGACATTTGTTTTTTTCCTATTTTCTTCACTTCCTCCCCAAAGTTTATTGTGCTTACACGTGACGCGTAAAATTGCACAGAAACTCGCAGCTTTTAGGATTTGAGGTCCTGCTTGGCTCATTTGCGTCCTCGTGGGAAAATGCAACTCAATAACATATTGTGCGTAAAATATCCAACACCCTGCATGTGCCTGTGCCAAAATTTAAACAAAACACTTCGTAAAACTAGAAATAAACTCAATAAGCTTTGATTCATTTACACGAGCATGGAGTGGAGGCCTGTTTGGGGCTGAGGTCAATAAGGGATTCATTCTTTTTTTATAAATGGCTGCTTTTTGATTTTCTAGGTAAAGTTGAACTTCATGGGAAACTTCTGGAAGTTGAACACTCGGTCCCTAAACGTCAAAGGTAGGTTGATGTATAAATTAAATTTTAAAAGAGCTTGGTTCAACTCGTGGGAGCTCCACATTTTTATTTCTCCCTGTACGTTTGCCTTCTGTTTGTTCTAGATGTGTTGCTGTAAATGTGAACGTAAGTTAATAATTTAGGGGTTTGAGTATTTTCATTTTGGTTAACGGAGGTGTCTTCTTCTTTTTTTGTGTTAACCTCCCCCTCCCTGAATGCTGTGGGGGTCAAATGAAAGGGGCGTATGGTGGTGTACTCCTCCTCTCGCCATGACTTGTGGGGCTGCTCTTAAAAAACCGTCGTACGATCTGGAGTCCTGTTTTTAGTCGCCCAGCCATCATAGTGCAATTGTATTTTTTAATATACAAACAGTATCGTGTTATTAACCTCTGGGTGGTTCATAGAAACCCGGGTGTGCAGGCTGAGAAGTGCAGGCTGTGTTTGAGGCGTGCAGGCCTGCATGGTGGAGTCGTCCATTTGAGAAGCCCGTCATTCTCCCTCATGCCTGCCCTGCGCTTCCGCCCTCCTCTGCACATTGTGCTGTTGCATGAGATGGACTCTCAAACTCGCCTGGAATTGGGGGTAACGAGCCCGAGTCCCGTAAATAATAATACAATTATTATTTAGTTGTCAGAGTGTGATCCCCTGTGCCCAAACACACTCAAAGTGAATGATTCCCAGAAAGTGTTCTGTCAATATATATTTTTACGCAATCTGCGAGGGCGTAAATTCCAGGGGCACTCGTATGCGTATTTTTCTGGCTCTGGCGCAGTTTGGTGGTGATTAATCTATTTTTCGGAATTAAAAGAAAATGGCGGCTGCTTTGTAATTGGTGTATGGGCGTCTAAGTGGTACGTAAAGTACACTGTTCAATTCCTGTGAAGTTTAATTTAATAACCGCAGCCACGTCTGGAATTACGTAAGTCCAGGTATCACACGTGGCTAAAAAATAATTTATAGAGTGCTTGGATGTGAAGAGGATTTTTGTGACACATTTACGTGCATTGTTTTTTTAAATAATTATTTTCACATGAATGCCAACGAAGGCCCAGTATTGATGTAGTTTCCTGGGCAAAATGGCGGCTTGTGTAAATAAACCAGGTAAGGTTACGTGGGAATTGTGCGTCAAAATGTCTTCCTCAGTATTGACTCGTATTCACGCAGGGCTGATGACGTTGCTGTGTTCTTTAAACTACAGTGTTGGACATGGCAGCAACAGAGTCGAGTTTCAGTCTCACTTTAAAAAAAAAAGAGCCCTCCCTTTACAACATGGCAATAGTCAATGGGAACAGTATTTAGAGTATAGGCTACACACACACACTGGGGCCCCTCTTCTTGCATTCCAGCCTGCAGAGATCAGCTGGGGGCTCAGCCAGTCACCATGGCTTAACCTTTGAACCCCCCAGGAAGGGGAAGTGCTGCAGCAGCCCGGGCCCAAGGTGGGGCAGCTGCAGTTTCGCTCAGATAGGACAGCGCAGGGTGAAGTGTCGGAGATTTGACAAAATTTCGACATGCAATTACAATATTCTGCCGTACGCCCCCCTGGATATGTCATGTCGTGGGTTAAAAAGTCCACTAAAATTATCTCTGCTGCATTAGCTGGACGTCTGCTGCATCCAGTTGCGATTCCAGAAAATTTACTGTATGTCTCAACAACTTCAGGCAGCAAAGTTCATGTATCGTCCACAGATGTATTGTATTCTTTTCTTACAACAGTTAATTCATGTAAATATCTGTAAAACATTATATATGTTAAATATTGCATGCAAATATTAAAATCTGGATTTTAAACATTTTTAGACATCCACATCTTCTTGATGATGTCCTGAGCTTTTATTTATTTTATACTGAAAAAACATGTCAATTGTGCAGATATCAATCCTACATTTGTGTCTATGCTTAAGTTATCTGGCATTTTCCTCAATTGACATTAGTGTTTACAATGAAATTTAAATTTAAAATTTCAACCTAGCTTTTTACGAAATCATGCCGGATTATTGCTACAACTCAGCCTAAAAGTGTGTTAATGTATATAAGTTGAGTTTTTTCCCCCCCATTCTACTCAGTAATTAAATCCACATATAAATCATACTGCTGCACCTCAGTATGATTATGATCATAATTTTGTACATAATGACAAATCTGAAATTCTAGTGCCACAAGCTTATTGTTAAATAAATTAAACAAAATAAAAATCACCACCATCTACACATGTGCATACCTGTTGGTCTAGTGCACAGTTTGAAAGGATGTGGCATATAGTGATAGAAGGGGGTGGCCTCAAGTGTGTGTGGGGTTTTTTTTTTCTCTCACAAAAAAGCTTCTAAATTTGGACAATGGTTTAGATCGTATGAGTGTTCTGCAGAAATGGCTCCTGGCTCTTAGTGCAACAATTGTGGGTCAAGGGGTCACTGTGGGGCCCCACCTGCAAAACTGGGGATTTGGATGGAGATTTAGGGAGCCAAAGAATTATGAATGTGGCCCCTTGTTTTACTCGTCCTGCAGGCAAAGGCTCTGTAACTCCCTCCCCCCCTGCAAGGCTCAAATCAGAATGACTTTGAACTTTTTTGCTTTTTCTTTATAATGTATGTAAAAATTATTTGGTCTTTGGTGGAATTCTCTGGGGAAATTCTAAACCAGTTAATCCAAAGTGTGGAAGGTAGCCTTTTGGGTGCACAGCGTGCATATACGGCCTGTGAGGGGGGGCAGCGGAAACCAGATTGAAGTTCAGTCATTCAGAACCTCTGCATGCTGAATAGTCAAAGGCTGTGGATGGGCAGTGAGCACAGATCACGTGTGTAACAGGCCGTCCATGGTGGTGTGGCTGTCGAGCGTTTCAGTGTGGAGCGATCGAAGAAATGATGAATATGAATGCAGGTGTGGTGCAGTGACAGGGTTCTTGACTTTTTGTATGGTTGTCCACGCTTGCTTACGTGTCTACACACCCACTTGTGTGCACAGCGTCCATGGTGTAGGCCCATAGGTCTCAGCTGGCCGGCAAGGGAATGGCGTGCACATACCGAGTGTTGGTCCATTTTTAAAAGTAAATAAGGAGCCTCCTCTTGGCCATCACATGATGAGCCAACCCCAGTCCCTTCTTGCTCCCCCTCCCACTTTTTAAACCCACACTACCATGTTCCTGTCAGTCCGTGTCCATGGCAACAGGGCCCCACCCCCCACGGGCCAGAGAGGGCCCTTGTTACCCTTGCCTGAAATGGGGCTAGTCCCCCCCCCCAACACACTAGCACCACACCCCTCTCTCACATACTCCCCCCACCACCAATTCAAAGGCTGGGACCAGGGAATGTATACCTCCCCCACCCCACATCCTGGTTGACTTCTTCTGTGTGCTGCACAGACCTATAGGTTAATCCGACTGGAAGTGCTCGGCACATTTGCACATTCACATTTCGCATTGGCGTTCCCACCGCAATGCAGAGCACACGGAATGTGCGGGGTAGAAGGGGGCCGGATCAGCCGGGAACGGCACACTGGGCCCGGAAAAGGGCTGGAATTCCTCCTGGAAGTTATTTGGGAATTTTCTTTACAATTTAGAATGAACTAGTTTCCTAATTTCTCAGAGTAAATATGTTGACCTGCTGTTGGCTAGATCATAGTCGTAGTGGCTAAGCTGAGGAATTTACACTACTGCGGCCCTCATTGCACATGTGTTTTACTGCCTTGACAATGTTGCATGTACGCCTTTTCTTCTTGAAGTAGAGTTCCTGGTGGTAAAGAATGAGTCTAAATGCTGCATGTTGTAAAGTGCTATCTTCCACACAGCAGATTACAGAACAGCCATTAGAAGTGGAGCAGTTGGTTCAAGTCGATGAGCTGCATTTGTTAACGTCATTTAACAGCTCAGTGAAGCTTGAGGAAAAGGAACAAGAGGTGTGTGTAACGTAATTCTTAAAGTTTTTACACCCGCTGGAAAACTGTAACCAGAAGATCTAACTTGAATTGACTGCACATGCTGCATATGTATCACGTATGTGCAGAGCAAGCTTAAGGGTGTGTGTGTGTGTGTGTGTGTGTGTGTGTGT